AAACTCGGTAGAGCCACATTTAAGCTCTTACTTGAATTCAAAAATTCTAAGTTGACTAAGTTGACTAAGTTGACTAAGTTGACTAAGTTGACTAAGTTGACTAAGTTGACTAAGTTGACTAAGTTGACTTTTGAAAATAAAGTTTAGTTTCCAGACCAAGCTGGGTTTCCAATCTAGTATTGTATAGAATACATATATGTCAGACAATCCTAGGCGTGTGTAAAATGCGTATCGCGGGGTACTCTCCTGGTGGGTGAGGTCGACTGGGGGCCAGAACACCCCCCAGCGGTTCCCTTTAATTAATTAATTAATCTACACTCTACAGTAAAAATTCTCAACTCTAAAGTGTCTAAAATTTTAAATAATTTACATTCAATAGTAGAGGACAAACGTACTATTGGAAGATTGTTATGAAACTTGCATGGTAAAGGAACACGCACCTCTGCCCCTTTAGTAAAAGTAAATTCAACATGTATGAAGCATAAAGTCTAACCCCGTCAACCTTGCTGCACCGGCCATTCATGTCCATACAGCTAGGTACAGTACAAACTGGGACCGGAAAGGTTGACCCGGCTCGGAAATTCAAATGTACTACGGCTGCCCGTGGGAAGAGTAGAGGTTTAAGTTTAAGCTTGAGATTGTCATCCTTCTCCAATTCTTGATCTGTTTCCAACCTGGAGGTGTTGTTTTTAGCCATTTTCATTAGTTCATTTGTTGTCTGGGGTCACCACTTTAAAAGTACATTTATTGCTTCTAAATACACAACAGATAACGATTGTATTAAAGGAGAGGAAGATGAGAAGATTCCAGAATTTGACACTGCTAACTTCAGGGTTTTAATATTTTTCTCCTCTATAGTACATATATTTAGGTTCATTGGCTACTCCACTGTACCTATGTGCACTGAAGACCCCATTTATAAACCTAGAAGATGTATTTATCACTGGTCTGTGTGCCACCACACAACTAGGTCTAAGGTGAGTGGTTTAAAGGGACTGTCAACGAAATTTCAAGTGGCATGTCTGATTCACATACTTTGTTTCATCAAGGATTAAAGGGATTGACCGGCTTTGTAAGGTAGTTGAACTGAGTATGCAGTTTGAGACATATTAAACTTTTTGAAGATTTGTAAATCCTGAGTTTGAGCGCAAATTCGACGTTCAAAACTTCTACTTTGGGGGTGGATACGTTTTCAGAATTAGTTTTTTTAAATTATTAAATAACGACGACATAAAATGTAAAAATAAACTACAGACGTCATGTTTAGGATCATGTTGAGAAAATAAAAATTAATCTTATCATCGAAAATAAGTAATCTTGTTGAATTATTAGTTTCTATTTTCGCAATTTCTCAGTTTAATATGTCTCAAATGAATCCGTAAGAAGCTTTCCACAATACTGCATACTCAGTTCAACTACCTTANCCGTAACTTTTCCCAAAAAAGTTTTCCTTATCAAAAAATTCTTACCCGACCCTTACAAAACTTATAGTTGGGCCCAAGTTTTGACTTTGTTTATGCATTTTGAAAAATTTATTTTGTATTTGTATAAAAATATATATTTATTTTATTATTACATGTGAATACAATAATGAAAAAATAATAAGAAGAAAACAACTTATTCAACAAATGTTCAATTACTTGTTTAATCAAGAATAGGAACAACAAGCTTACAGAGAAACATCAAACAATGTGGTTTACACACCGAATGGAAAATATATTTCAGATTCTTATTTTTTTATGTAAAAAGTATAACCATTTATAAAATTATTCCTTTCAGGCCAAAAGTACACAAAACAGGATGTTTATACCCCAAAACAGGGTGATTATCCTTTGCAGTACAGAAACAATTGAGTGACGAATAGGGTGATTATCTCTTGCAGTACAAAAACAGGTTAAATGTAAGCAACCCTATCCCCCCTCTCTTTAGTTCTAAGCTCGTTGAGAACTTGAAATCGGTTTCTCTAGATTAACTGAATTAACTAGAATGAGAAACATAGGATAAACAAACATGGGAAGATGCCGTACAATGTCGTCTTTGAAATAAAGATAATTTGATAATCATCACAAATGCAACATTATGCAGGGCTAGGGCACCCACAAAAGATGACTGACGTTGTAGAATTTGTTCATCATTTTTTTCTCTCCTTCCTGGCTCCTAGCAGCTGTAAAATTGTTTCTTTTTAATCAAATTATTTGATCTATTTCTTCAATTTTAAATTTCAGACGAAATTGTACGTAAAAAAGATGAAATCAAACCTTTTCTAATTTGAACACTTTAATCGGAACATTTATATATGGAAGCTTTAATAAACACCTGCTGAACATAAATACGTTGTTAAATACGTTTTAAAATAAAAAATATATATTTTACTTCTCGAATGTCGTCTTCCTGAATAAGAATTGAAAACATTTGCATTTTAACTTATATCCCTGAGTCCTGATACATTTATAATTTTTGTAATAATCAGACGTAAAATCAGTGGCACAACTAGCACTTTTGTGAGGGGGGGGGCAAAATTTTGTTGAATTATTTAAAAAAAAAGAAATCGTTGTTTTCTGGATTTGAAGTAAAAAACAGCATTTTTTAATTGTTGAAGGGTTGGTTCTGTGCTCAATAATATATAGGGTGTCCTAGGAAACATGACAGTTGGTGAATAGTTTTAAATGTCTTCTTCCATAATTTGATAAGTTCTTTAATACCAAAGAGAATAATAAAAAAACATCACTTGGTAGTATTATTATAATAAAATTGGTTTCAAAGCAAAATATAATTAAGTATTNACGTGATACAGACGGAAATGAATTTTCGTATATATTTGACACAGTTTTATATCCATTTCTTGTGACAGGAACATCAGATAGATGTCTTATAGATATCGTTCAACGCCTGTGATTTTCAGATTTTATCCTTTATACCCCCTTTAATTTTTCCTTTACAGTCCCTTTAAAGACTTGCATCAATCGAACATGCCACTATGAAAATGAAGGTAAACTTGAAAGTATGCGTAAATTCCCTTTAATCAAAAACTTTTGAAGGTTCTTGCTTCAAGTGCAACAGGAAGACCCAACCTGTCGTCGTTTCCTTAGTCTGTTCCACTTTAGTATTTATTCACTTTGAGTTCTTCTAGTGTTTTTTCATGTATTTTTTTGTGTCTGCTATAGTCCCTGGCTTAGTCATATTCACTATGTGTATAAAGTTTTTTGTGATTCATCCACTAGTCATATTTGTCCACTATATAGTCCCTTAACCGTAGGTCTGTGCAGTCCTAAGTAGTAACTAGTAAGTAGTTCCTGGCAGTACTTGACTATATTTCGTCTGTCCATTATTCATAAATACTAATAGTCTTTCTGATCGAAGTCCATATGTCCTTGTTTGACAGAAAGGGACTTATCCCTGTTTACAAAAGTCCTAATAGTCCGACATAATCCTTATTATATTTCTTATTATTCTTCTCAGGTTGTCAGGTTGTGTGTAACCTTAAATGAATATACAGTTAAACCCATACATCGAAAGAATTCATCAAATGTCGTATTCTTTTCTGATAATGGAATGTTGCAGATATATATTTTTTTAATTAAATGATTATATGGAGCTCTTTAAAACTGTTCCCGCATATTCATGACTTTTTTTGATCAATTCTTTCAATGTATGGCTCATTTAGTGTTTAAATGTATGTATTGTAATACTCATAAGAAGTAACATATATGCAGTTTTTTTGAGAGGATAAATTTAGACTGACTGACTTTCTTTAAGTCGAAAACGAGAAGTAGTTAGAAATTCTATTGGAAATGATGCGCAAATTGCGCCAAAGAATTTTTTTTTCTTAATTGGCAAAATTTTATAAAAGATGGTCCACAATCATGATTAAGCTTGATAGCGGAGAGAGATACATCTTGTTATGACATGGCGTCCCTCAGTATATAAGTGTGTATTAAACTCTATTGATTCTTTTCTCTTTCATTAGCTTCGATATCCCACTAAATACAAGAGAATAAAGACGACCACGTTAAAAAAAGAATTGCATTCCTAACAAACAGGCCTTCGGCTTCAAAACAATAAACAGAGCTTTATTATGCTTATATTATACATTTGTAAAAGAACTCAATTTCAAATTATGGTACATATATCCAACTGTACCTTGCTTCATACATCTTCAATATTCTTTACTCTTTAAAATGTCATGTTTCGTGAGACAAGGATTCGTTAGACAATTTCTAGCTGAGATTTAGCTGGAACTTCCTCGCCTAGCTAGCATGGAAAATCGCAGCTAAAACACAGCTAGAAAATGTTTAACGAATCGGATAACGGATTCGTTAGACAATTTCTAGCTGAGATTTAGCTGCAACTTCCTCGCCTAATTAACCTGGGAAATTGCAGCTAAATCACAGCTAGAAAATGTTTAACGAATCGGATCCAGGAGCGGCTTACGATATATTGTAACTGAAATAATGACATTATTTAATGTGCGCCGACATTCTTTGTCCCCCCCCCCATTCAAATTTTGGTAATTTTTTTTAAAAAATCCATTCCTAAGAATCCAAACGGTTTTATCGAAGACAAGACAATATCTAAATTCATAAATTAATGGTTAGGAAGAAACCTTTATATCAATTGTGCCCCCCCCCCGGGTGCAAAATCGAGGAGACCTTTTCATGTGCCTTGGAAAAGGTGCAAAGTTACAGAAAGTATACCGGCTGAAACATCATTAAATCTTTCAAGTTTTTTATGCTAACAAACAAAAATAATGCAGAAGTTAAGTGCTAATTATTCTTATTTATTTAATATTTGTGACAATACATAATTCGAGGTCATGTTGGATTGTTGGTACAGAGCGAAAGAGGGTCACATTTTGAAAATCCCAGGATTATGGTGTTGATATATTACAAGCATTATCAGGTTTAAGAACAAATTTGCATTCGAAATTCTTTTGTTTTGGACAATTTGTACTATTTTTTTTTCTAACAATTAGATGATCGACGTTGAATAAATAAGCAGCGTATAAATAATCATTTATTTATTATAAAGTTTATGATTATATTCACAATATGTATTTTAGACCGGTTTCTTGCATCAGGGGAGACAGATGTCGTCATTATATATAACTTAACAATATTTTTTATAAAACTGTAAAAATGAATCTAGAAATTAAATTTCTTAAGAAAAGGACTAATATCAGAGGAGTTTGCATAATAATTTCATCTCGGAAGAACGGCTGGGAGAGGGGGGGGGGCGTTGTTGATCATTTCCCCCCCCTTGAACCCCAACCTTTTTACAATTTAGCTCTCTGTGGTTATTCAACATTTACAGATATTTGATAAACTAATATTTTAAAATTCTAATTTCTTATTTTCTTGTTTCGGCCCTTTTCTTTAGAGTGGCAAGAAAGACGTTTAAATTGTCGTCTTTTAACAATATTGCTATCCATGTTTTGTCTATTGTCTATTGCCAAAGATAGATAGATAGATAATTAGTTGGTTTCAAGACTTTAAGATGTTTGTCAAATTTTATTTTATGCTTCTCTGTTACGTTTCTCCGTTTTCCGTTTCAGATCTAAAAAAAAACAAAATAAAAAATAAATAATTTATAAATTTTTAAAGAAAAAGGATTATTTTCTAATGGCAAGTGAGTAACGTTTAGTTTTAACAGTTTATTTTCGTTCATTCTCAACTTGTAAGTTGTTTTTTTACTCGTCCTAGTTTTCTCTTTTAGTTCGAGATAATAGACCTCTTGGCATAGATTAGATATGTGAGACGTTATAAAAGTACCAAAACTAAATCCTTACTTATTGGAAATCACTGCATAAAGAAAAAGAAAATTGGTTCTAAATCTAAAAAATCGATTCCTCCCTCTAACTCGGGCCAGGGGTTATTTGGAAAAAGACCCCCTGAATAAAGTAATAATGATAAAAATATGAAGAATAATCAATGCTTTAAAAATACTCTTCGTCTCAAAAAATAAGTATAAAAGAGAAAAGGCGAAAAATAATGTTTACTAGGCCAAATTGTGATCGAAAGTCACTGTTCTCTGAGATAAGGACCGAACCCTTGAACCCGCATAAACGGAACAAACAGTACTCTACCTGTTCCCGAATTTGTTTGTGATATTCTGACTGAGCTGACGGATATTCTCCATGTTAATGTCTTCAACACCGCCCTCCATCCTCTCCACCTCCCCATCCTCACCGTTCATCTCAGATTCACAATCACTTGTCATACATCCGCGGTAGTTGTCATACTCACTATCATACCTTTAATAATTTTCATGATGATGATTATGATGATGATAATGATAATGATAATAATAATAATAATAATAATAATAATAATAATAATAATAATAATAATAAACCCGCCGTTCGCCGCCATACTCATTTGGTCGAGGGCTCCTCTTCTTCCTCCTCCCAGCTCCTCATCATCCTCCTCACTCCAGTCACTCTGACTCGTGTCACCGTGGAGCTCTCGCTGGGCGGCAATAAGTCGTTTCATCTCATCCTCCTTAATAGTCAACACTTAAAATGTTTCTTTTTCTAACATAAAATTTATTACCTATTCTTTCTTTATTTTTTCCTGAGCTGTATTTTCTTTTCTTTATACAGTTTAACCAAGAACTTCAGAGACGTGGGAAGAATTTAAAAAATGTCGTTTTCTTAACCTATAATGGAATGCTGCAGATTTTTAGTTTTTTTTTTTAAATTGAAAAATTATTTGGGGCTCTTTAAAAATGTTCCCGCGTATTTAGTAGCGATTTTTTGCTTTTATAATTACTGAGAATTAGGTAGAATAGTTCAAAACTCTTTAAAAAATTGTCAAGACGACATTTTATAAATTCTTTCGGTGGCTCCGAAGTTTTGGGTTAAACTGTTTCCTGTCTGCTTTCTTGTTTTGTCCTGACCATTCCTTTCCCGTTCTCAATCTATTTTGTGTTCTCTCTCCGTCCTATTCTGTCCTGTCCTTTTTGGTCTTTTGTTTCCGCTCTCTGTCTTGTTTTATCTTGTATACTATCCTTTTCTTTTATTTCCTTTCCTGTTCTTTCGTTATGTCCTTGTCCTACCCCAGTCTTTGTCCTAGTACCTGTCCATGTCATTGTCCTTGCCCTTGTCATTATCTCTGTCCTTGTCCTTGTCTTTATCTCTGTCTTTGACCTTTTCTCTGTCCCTGTCCTTGTCCTTATCTCTGTCTCTGTCTCCGTCTTTGTCCAATGTCCTTGTCCTTGTCCTTGTCCTTGTCCTACCTTTATCCAAACATTTTAGATATTTTCAAATCAAAGAATTTAGTTTCAATGTTAAAACGTTAAATATCTTACCTCTCTCTTCCCTCCAGTATATCTTCCTGGTAGAGCAAAGAGAAGACCAGGAGAACTCTGAAATTATTATTTTATTTTTGAAGAGTAGAACAAATTTAGACTGAAGATTTCTAGAAATGAAAAACAAGCATATATTCGAGAAAAAATTTACCTTTGATTCCTCAGCTAGCAATCTTCTTTCTTCCTCTTCAAACTCATCGATCTCACGCTGCTCCGAGTCCCGGGATAGGTTCAAGCCCCCCTGCTCTAGGTCCACCTGGAGCACCTTGGAACCCTCCTCCAGAAGTTCTAGAAGAGGATCCCGGAACTCATGATCTGAGTCTCCAGGTTCAGATTCCAGGTTCTCATATTCACTCTCTTTACCCTTTCCAGTAGAACCTCGAGACCTGAGAAAAAAACGTTGAAGAGACTATGTAAAAAAACATTGAAGAGACTATGTTAAAAAACGTTGCAGAGACTATGTAAAAAAACGTATTTTAAGGATTAACATAATTTGAATTTATGATTGAGACACGACCAGTTCAAAAAAGCAATGAAATCATTTGTTTTCAAGTTTTTCTCAAAAACAAGGCTTTCTTAAAAATTCATTTAAAATCTTTAGGCACAACATTTCATTATTTCAAATCTAATTTGTTAATGTCAGAAAAATTTGAATAAAAAGGAATTGAGTCTTTGCCACAAACTCAAATTTTATAATCTCTATATCATTACAACCTGATGGTTTAGACCTTCGATATTTCAACTTAAATTATTTGATCTAATTTTAAAGTTTGAATTATCTAAGATCTCAGACATTGGGTTGCAAAGATGTAATGAGCAGAAAATCAGGGTTTGTGACAAATACTTAATTCCTATATTGTCAAGAAACCAATTTAAGTTCTTCATTTCTCACTTCTGGAAGTAATCATAAGTACAAAGCATGCAGCCTGTTTACATTAAACCACAATAAGTCCCAGTAAACACGAGAATTAAGTAACGAGACAAACAAGCCGTACACCAGTCAAATAAAAGGTTCTTAAGGGTTTTGAACTTGATGTAAAAAAATTAGCATATGTTGTTAATTAATGATAATACAGAAAAAGATTCACGCTGAGTTTAAAATATTTCATGTGAGGCCTAAAAAGAAAGGCAAGTTTTTCTTACCTCACATGAATCCAATAAGTAATTTTGACCATTTTTCTCTACACACAACAATATTTGATTTAATTTAAGCTTCCTTTTCCCAACCTGCAGGACAGAACCCTTAAAAACTGATAAATTTGCATGATTAAGAAAGAAACAAAGACCCATAGAGTGAAAATCCTGAATTTAACTTCAAAAATCTGTTCTTACTTACTCAAATCTGAGAGTTTAACAATTACTTAAAGTGCTTTCTTCTTCAGTAAAGGTAAAGGAAGCTTTAAAAAAGGTTTTAATTTGATATTATTTGTACCTAAAGACAAAATATACAAATAATTTGAAAAATTTTGTCGTGTGTAGAGAAAAATGGTCAAGATTATTTGTTGGATTCAGGCGAGATTTGAAAAACTTCATTTCCTTTTTAGGCCCTACATGAAATATTTTCAAATCAACGTGAATCTTTTACTTTACTATTATAGAATAACGCTTAATACTTATTTTTATATCAAGTTGAAAAACCCTGAAGACCCTTTATTTGACTAGTGCGAACTAGAGTGCTTTTAATACCAAACTCTGCATATTAAATCAAGCTTTATGCATCAAAGGAACTGAGTTATTGTCACAAACTCAAATTGTCTAATCCCTATATCTGTACAATCTTATGATGTAAACCTTTGATATTTCAAACTTAGATTATTTGGTCTAACAGAATTTATATTTTGAAATATCAAAGTTCTACGACATTGGGTAGCAAAGATATAGAGATTAAAAAAGTAGAGTTTGTGACAAAAACTCAGTTCCTTTACTCTTATCATTTCAAATAAATGATGTTGTAGAAAGTGTGTAATTACCAACAAACCATAAATAATAATTTTAAAAAATATTCACTCAGTGAGATTCATAAAACAAAGGGATATGAAGACGACTTTTAAGCATTCTTTCGTGTTATTGACGTTATAAGCAAATAGTTTTAACAAAATGGGTTTGTGTACACTGCAAAATGCTGTGCTTCATGTTCACTGAACTATTTAAAATCATAAATTGAGTCCGACAGTATTTTTCCTATTCCCCTGTTTTACGGGTCTCCCTGTATGCCTTTTCCCACCATTTAAAAAGATATATTCACTTCAGTTAAAATTGCTTGTGTTAATTTAGTTCCTGTGTTTATTGGGACTCCTGGTACAATACGTCAGTATATTGGGACTCCTGGTACAATACGTCAGTATATTTCAAGAATTCAATTGTTGGAAATAAAAAAAGAACGAAAGACGAATCCTTCTCATGTTTAAAACCAAACGAGACAGAACTATGAAGCCGCAGATTAGGTCAGGACAAGAGTTGTCGAAGTTGCTTTAGATCCAGAGTTTTTTTCATGTTACATTAAACCTTAAACATTCGACCTAAAATTTAAATCTTCCAGTTGTAATAAGTCAACCCTTAACCAAAAAGGATCTAAAATCTAAACCTTGAACCAAACCTAGAAACCTTGAACCTTGAACTTGAACCTTAACAAATCTTGAACCTTAAGTCTTGAACCAATGAACTTTGAACCTTGAATCTTAAACCGTGAACCATGAACCTCAGTAATCTTATATCTTAAAAAAACCTTAAATCTTAAAGCATATTTATTTATTTGTATGACCAACCAACTTCTACATCTCTTGTCCTATCATGTAATCTGTGTTTATGTAATATTGCGGTATCCATCCCGGTTAAAGCAGATAAACTATATAAGAATATGAAGTTAGTTTTTTATACATTATGCACTATGCAGATAAAGATTGGGTAAATAATATATTATAAATATTCATTGCGTAGTTAAATTATTTTCCCAATCCTCGTCATTTTTCAAGGACTGTTCACGGTTCACATGGTTTTGTTGTGAATAATTAATTAAAGTCAAGAAAACTGGTTGGTGAACGATGAACAATCCCTTTACAAGGATTAGTAACTATATATATATATATACTAATATAATGATGAAAACTAATTTGAAAATATTATTGATTTCTCCTTGTCCCTAGATCTACCTAATCCATGTATGTTTCCTATACTCCCTATCACCATGTGTATAAGTGCACATAAACCTACATGCTTCAACATTTGGAACAAGTTTTTAAATGTTTTCCTCATGTTGTAGTGATTAGCTCAGCTCCAGGTAGAAGGATTGGTTAGCTCAGCTCAATGTGGAAGGATTGGTCAGCTTTATTACTCCAGGTGCAGACATTGGTTAGTTACGGATCCAAAAGAACGGATTGGTTAGTTACAGATACAGAAGGAAGAATTGGTTGGTTACAGATCCAGGTTGAAGGTTTGGTAAATTTACTCTGAGTATCAAATTTACCTGAAGCTGTCTCCCCGCCTAATCTCCGTCCTAGGAGATGAGGACGGAGACGGGAGCTCTAGCGGGAACCGCCCTGCCAACCTATACACCAAGCTTAGTAGAGAAGGTTCGGAGCATGAATAACAATAGAAACCCACAGCTAAGGCCAATATTAACCCAAATAATTCAATCCATATTATCCACCACTTTCTTATGTTTATTATTTATCAAAGAATTTTTTTATTAAATATGAATTCCCATTATTAAAAAAAAACTAGGTAGAAGCGAACAAGACAATTTTAAGCGACCAAACATAAATAGATAAAGAGAAAAGAGAAAGCTTGAAAATGGCAATTTCACAAAACATACATTTTCATTTATCTACAAATGTACATATGTACTGCGTACACAGAACACGCCACATTGAGTACAGTTTGGACAAGCTAGAGCACAGTTTCTCCTGGACTGCTTACCTATGGTGGTGCCTGATAGGACTGCTGGGGAGAGCACCCAGACTCATCTTGTTATTGACAGGATCATATCGGAGAACACTTTCATCATTGGTCGGAGTTATATCATCATGGATCAAGGCTGCTTCTTGTTTAGCCGCTATATCCTGTATAGCCGCTAAACCAACCTTTCCTAACTCATTCTTCTCTACTCCGCTCCCAGCTCCAACTACATACCTGGAGTTTAGTTTAGCAAGCTTCTCCTGGAGTTCCTTCATCTTAGAGGGACTCGACTCACAGATCTTCTCTGTCCCATCCTTGGGCGCAGGTTCGCTGCTCCGCTCCAGACTTGTACTTTCCTGCTTCAGGATCTCCTTCATTGGAATTATCATCATATAATACAATTTTTAGGAAAGGAATTGAATTTTGACACAAACTCTGATTTTCTAATAGATATTTTTATCTTTACAACCCTATTTTGTAGACCTTTGAAATTTCAAACCATTAATACTGGTAAGTTTAAAATATCAAATGTTTATACAATTAGATTGTTGTGATTTAAGAATTAGAAAATTCATGTTTGTGGCAAAAACTTCTTTATCATAAATTACATTTTTGCTATTATTAACAAATTTACAAAATCATTATCAGTGTTTCAACTATTTTAATCATCGTCATTATCATTATTGTTGATAAATCATTTTGTCATTATTATCATTACTTCCATTATCATCCATTATTATGGTTGTCATCTTCATTATTGTCATTAGTTAGTATATCAATATCATTATTATCACCTGTTCTGCAATAATTCTGTGGATTTCTCGTTCAAAGTTTGGCATTGGTCCAAAGCTTTTGTTTTCTTTCTGTCTTCCTGGTCGTAGTTTTACTTTAGGAGATCGTATATCCGACTTAAGCGGATCTACAGGGGGAGGTTTAATACCTCGCGCCATATTTATGAGAACATCTGATTCTACAGGTCGAGGTTCATCCTTCATATCACAGTTCGTATCCTCCCTAGCAACCTCTTCAACCCCGGGCAGGAGTCTACTTGTATCACTAGAATCCCGTTCACTCCCGGAGTTATTCTTCTCCTTCTCTCCTCCTCCGGAGTTATTACTGTTTTTTCGTTTTCGTTGTCTATCCGACCCGCTCGACCGTCCACCGCTGGATCGACGATCTGATCCGGTGGACTTCCGGCTTCCGGCTGAACGAACAGATTCTGCGGTGTCATTTTTGACCCTGAGCACCTCTTCCGGTCTGGTTTGCTCCAGGTTGGGTTCACTGCCTGGTTGTCTTGATTCATCCTTTCCTAGTTTATTATCGCGAGTCAACTCACTTGCTCTTATTTCAATCTCCTTCTTGATATCACGGGGAGGACTTTCAGTGCTCCCTTTACCTCGCCGACCTTGAGATTCTTTTGGTAAAAATTCAAAACTCCCGCAGGAGTCTCCGATATAAGATTCCATTGGTGAAGACATGGCAGACCTACAGGACTCAACCCCGACTACTCCAGGTGGGAGTTCAAGTCGGGAGCAAAGTTTCTCTCCTGCTCCGCCATCTTCGTTATTTACATCATCAAAATCCAGTTCAGATTCAATTTCAGATTTGAAATCATCATGGTGAGCAGGACTAGGAGATTGTCCGACACTAGGGAGCCGGAGCTGGGTTGAACTAACCTTTCTTGAGGCTGGTTCCCGAGCAGGGTTGGAGAGAAGAGGAAAGGGGGGCCCGTGACTAAGTTTTGGAGAGGATTCAAGACTAGAAGGATCAATTTGTATATCCGAGGGATAGAGCCAGGGGGCTTTGTTCTTTGGTCTGGAAGGAGGAGAGGGTGATTCAACATCAGTCCTTGAGAAATCGGTTCGAGAAAAGGATTCATCTGAGGATGAGTCATCTGACCGATTCATCGATGAAATTTCATCCGCGGATGAATGAATTTTGGAAGCATAGAGCCCCCTGGACTGTAGTGACTCCTCAGAATGGTGTCTTGGTAAGTTTGAATGCGGGTTCCTAAGTTTAGCATTAGTTTTAACAACAGCTTCCACTACTCGTCTCTGTGAAACATGAGCAGGGAGTGGAGGATGAAGAGGAATTGATTGAATGGGAGGAGGAGGAGCAGGTCCTGTTGGCGGGGCACTTCTGGAAGCCCTGGGTGGGGTTCCTCGGTCTTGGTAAAATATATTTCTGGGAGGAGTTCGTATATCCTGCCGAGGAGGAAGCATTGGTGCACGTCCAATAGCTGGCATAATCCGGCTTGATGTTCGGGGAGGGAGAAGAGGTTGTTCCTCCTCACCTGAACCTATCTCTGATACTGCTGGTAACCTAGGCATCATCCTGCTTCCACTAGGAGATGGAGCAGCAGGTCTTGAATCCAACCTTGGTAAAACCATCCTCTTGCTGAGAGGTGACGTTGGCTGGTGATTAGAGTAAATATTATTCTGAGAAATTAAATCGTCCAAACGCATGGTTGAAGCAGCTCGTCGCCCTGTCAGAAAATAGGTCGTCATATTGCCTTTTCCCTTTACCTTCACATCCCCCCGGAGCTGAAACTCGTAGGGAAGATGCTTCAGGATATCGAAGACCTCCTCTGTAACCTGAGTATGGTTTGGTAGACCAGTAGAATCCATCCTACTCGCAACATTCACAGTGTTTCCCCAGATATCGTACTGAGGTTTTCGAGCTCCGATTACTCCGGCGACCACAGGTCCTATATTCATACCAATACGGAGCATGAAGTTATTATAACTATGCTCGTTTAAGTTAGCTAGTTTCTCTCGGAGTGCAAAAACGAATTCTGAGAGTTGAGTGAGAGCAGCTCCGGCGCTAACTCCTCCGTCCTCACAATCATCAGAAATCCTAAGCTCCGGGACCAGTCCAACAGCTGCCATGTAGGTGCTCCCGATAGTTTTGATCTTATCTATTGCCCGGAATCTGTCCTCACCCAGAAGATCATCAAAATCAGCGATGATTTCATTCAGCAACCTAAACACACAAACATATTAAATCTAAATATGAGAATAAGAAGTTTCCTCTGAAAGTTTAAAGAAAACTTGACAAATAATTACTGGATTAGAAGTTTAATTATAAGATTTCTCCCAGCCCAAAGTTTACCCGGTTCTAAGTTTGGTTGTCTAGGAGCCAAGTTATAGAACCAGTTCCTGATCAAATCTTGATTGTGTCAAACTTATTCCAAACACGAATGTGTATCTACGCTTATAAAATCAATCGTTCATATTTGTAATGGGGGAGGGGGATCAGTCTCGACATCTCTACTCCAAGATCTTTTAATACTACTCAGGATCTATCTAACCTGATACAGTATACATCTAGAACTATGGGTTCTATTAAGGATCTATCTAACCTGATACTCTCTACTCCTAGATCTATGGTTTCTATTCAGGATCTATCTAACCTGATACACTCTACTCCTAGATCTATAGGTTCTACTCAGGATCTATCTAACCTGACACACTCTACTCCTAGATCTATGGTTTCTATTCAGGATCTATCTAACCTGATCACTTTACTCCTAGATCTATGGTTTCTATTCAGGACTCCTAGATCTATAGGTTCTACTCAGTATCTATCTAACCTGACACACTCTACTCCTAGATCTATGGTTTCTATTCAGGATCTATCTAACCTGATACACTCTACTCCTTGATTATTTCCGTCCAGCTCTGTGTAGAACTCATGAAAGTTTGTAATAGAAGCAAAAATAACTCCAACTCTGTTATACGACTGACTGTATAACTCCTAAATAAAAAGTTATATTAATTTATCATTTTATGATAACATTGATTAATGAATTTATTGAATAGAATCGAAAATGTAAAATAAAGTATAAATTCAAATTTAAAATTTTCTTTTAAAAGCACAATTTCAATATTTACTAATTTTTTTATATTATTGAACTAAAGACTTAAAACTAATGAAGTTCAGTTAAAAGAAGTTTTGAAAACTTTTAAGGGTCCATGATGAAATTGCATAAAAGAATTAAATTGAAAAAATATCTAGAGAAAAATTTTGTTTTTGAGACCATGGTTCCAAAAATGTATATACAAAAACAAAACAAAAGTGCAATGTGCGACATTTAAAAACAAGAAAAGAGTTAGATTATGAAAAAAACAGGGAAAATGTGTAAGAACATAGTGGTGCAAAAACAGAAAACTACAAGGATTGAATGTAAAGCAAAAAACACTAGAGTTTCAACATAAAATCGAAGTTCATTTTGTGCGTTGTTCCGAGCTCAAGTATACGCCCCCATAACACATCAAACCTGTTTAGCTAAGTATTTAAAATTTTCTTTTCATTAGTTTCCCCGGGAACTAGAAATTTGCTTTAAAAGTTCAAAATTAACTGAAATAGAAAGAACTTGGTGTAATGAGAAATCTAACAAAAGGTTATGAAGTTAAAAAAAAAATCATCGAATAAAATAAAGTTTTTAAACTAAAGTTTTTTAAACTAAAGTTTTTTAAACTAAAGTTTTTTAAAACTAAATTTTTTTACAATGTAAAGCTAAAAGTGCATTTAATCTAAAAAACAGTTTAATAGATTGTACATGTTAAAAAACTCTAAGTTAAAAAGGAACTGAGTTTTTGCAACAAACTCAGATTTTCTAATCCCTGCATCTTTGCAACCCAACCTTAGATAAATCAAACTAAGAATTCTTAAACCACCAGCTTGCATAGATTATAGGGATTTAAAAATTTGAGTTTGTGGCAAAGACTCAATTACTTTGCTTGGAAAAAGAAAATTCTAGAAAACTGTTTAACATGTTCAATCTTATTTTTTTTAGAATTTCTGTTTATAATAAAAACCACAAATGTCTTATCCTACCTTACAGCCCAAGCTAGAGTTCTGTAAAAAGTGAAAATCATGATTATGCTTTTTCTATTTTTAAAAGAAATTAAATGTAATATTGAGAAAATAAATGTTTGCATTTTAAAGCCAGACATTAATTAATGCTCTGTTCAAAGAAGCTAATTTTTGTTCAACCGAACTATAATGTGTTTAACAGAACTATATTTTGTTCAACCGAACTATATTGTATTTTCAACCGAACTAGAATATGTTCAACCGAACTATAATATGTTCAACAGAAATATGATTTGCTTAACAGAACTATATTTTGTTCAACCGAACGAGAATATGTTCAACAGAACTAGAATATGTTCAACAGAAATATGATATGTTTAACAGAACTATATTATGTTCAAACAGCTGAAAATGTGTATAATTCTTTTAAAAATAAGTAAAATAAAATATAGTAACATGATGTAAGAACACGCGAATTAACTATATTTCTCGCGGAGTAGCAACTAAATTTTTCAAAGTTTTTTTTACACTTATAATAAGAAAAAACTTACCATATTGCTCCGGAACTGATTATCCAGGAAGTGGGTTGCTACATGAGCTGGTAGGAGGTTAAAAAGTATTCTCCTAAGTTACAAACAGCAGTCATAATTTCATGAAATTATTTTTATAAAGTTATTTATATTAATCTAAAAATGTTGTGTTCTGAGTATATAGTGGAACAATTGTCTTCTTCTAAATTTCTTTTAAATTATAGAATGTCGCAAATAATTTTTTAATAAGTGATTTATGATTTTTAAAACCCAAAACATATCATTTCAGGGAATTAAACATTATAAAACCCGATTAGCATGATTATAAGAATGAACAAAAACGACATTCTTTTTAAGTTTTCTTATTTTAACCGCATTAGATCTACAACCTGTTGGATCCTTGCAGAGCTTCCATATCAAGCTTCTCCTCTCTGGCCTGAATTTGCCAGAGGAAATCCAGCCGAGCCATCCATTCAACCTTATAATAAGGAATTCAATACAACAAGGACATGTCCCATTAAATCTTTACAAAGAAACAGAAGATATTTAAAACTACTTTATCTACATAACAAAGAAAGATTTGAACAAAGAATTGACTGTAAGTTGTAAAATAAAGTAAACACAATTGGAAACTTAGTAATAAACATTTTAAATCGTGACAATGGAAAATAGACAATGGGATAGAACTTTCTTTCATGTGTCTTTTAACAAAGAGAGGGAAATCTTAAATATATTTATTAAACTAATTTAGGATTCATCCAGATTCACAAACTCTTAACAAAGCTTGAGAACAAAAACCTGAAGAGGAATATAAAATGCTTAATTAAATACCTGTCTTCCGTGCATCGCAACCGCCAAAACGAAGACGACTGCAACGATAACAGCTGTAATATGCAGCGGCACCAGCGCATTGGAGCGCAAATCCCAGCAGGCGAAAACTGGCGCATGGGAGAGTTCAATGAGTAGAATGTAAACAATCCCCATAGCTCCGAGTAGAAGGGATTTGATTGCTATAGGAAGCCTGAGAAAGATTGATACTGCCAGGTATGAGAGCATACAAGAGAGCAGTATATAGTGAGGTAGAAGACAAAGCCTATGCCCAGCTCCGGTAACTGCTGGTTTCTCTAGAACCTTCCTACTCTCCGGTAGAGAGCACGCAGAAACTGGTTCTCTTTGACACGTGAACTGAAAAAAAAATATTTTAATAATTTCAATACTTTTTACTAATAACTTTTTAATCCTATTTTGATGGAGAAATTATCTTTGAAAAGATCAATTTTATATATTAAATTCAACCTATCAACTTCTATTTCATTAATAATTTATTTCTCTTTGAACAGTTTTCTTTTCTTTTCATTTCTTGAAAATATTATTTATTTACACGAGAGTGCGTTTATCCCCTCGTGTCCATGTTGTATCCTTGATTTCTCCACTGGGATGAAGAATGAGATTAAGTTAGATATAGGCAACATCATATTGGATGCAGATAACAAGGTTAGAACCTCATATTAATTATCTCCATTCATTGCAACCATGTTTATCTATATATATAAAGTAATAAATGACTCATGTACCCCTGGACCGAATTGCCTCAAATTTTGATTGGGGAACTCGGGAGAACCACGGAAATGTTAAACGGTGGGAGTAACTATGAGTATCCTGGGTTCCCAAACTCTCAAGATGGAAAATAATTGCTACTATAGAATAAGAAGCAGTGTCCCCCCCCCCCCGTTTCATAAACTTTCCACTTTTAGTCCTCTTTGCAAAATTAATCAGTGCGAGCTTCTTATACTATTAAGTTCAAAATAAAAGTTATTTTCACAACTTTTTCACACTTTCACAGTCTTTCTTGGAATTTTCTAGAGACAAATCTTGTTTACCCATAAACATAGTTGAGTAGGGGTAGGTTTGACATGTCGAATTGTAAAAATTAAGGGGTTTATTTTCAAAATCCTTGAATAAATTTGTGCAAAAAAATCACCCCCCTCCTCCCTTAAAAATTTAATCTGACAAAAACTGAACTCTGGTTGAAATCAAATTAAAGAGAAAATACAGGAAAGTTTGAAGATGAGAAGTTAAAATTAAGTTCTCATTTATCTGCTGCTCATCTGTCTTTGATTAATAAATTATCTTGATTTCGTTAAAACAATTCAAGTTGTTCTTTTCTCTCTCTTAAAATACTAAATGAGAATATATAACACATTTACACAATGTATGTACGCTAATTTTATTGAAGAACAAATTTTTTTTGGCAGAAAACAATTTGTTTATTGACACAAAACTGGAACATTCTTTGAGACTTTAAGAAATAAGTTTCTCTTTGAAAAACTTTCTCTGCTAAAATTAGTTTTCCCTCAAGGACATATAATTAAATTAACTTTTAACATTGCATTCACAACTTTTAGTTTTGCAAACTTATTGTGCAGTTTAATGGAAAGAACTTTTGATAAAAAAGAACAATAGAAATAAAGATATATGAGCAGAAGATTTCCAATCAATTAAGAACTTGTTCCATAAATCTTTTGACAGGTTTTCCAAATTGCAGAAATAGTTGCTTTGCCTTCTCCTCTCTTCAGAAACCTTTTTTAAAGTTTCGGTCTGGGTAAAATAACATTTTACAAATACTTTCATTCACAGGGAGGCACAGACACGATTGTTATTTAATTGTATTAAATTGCGTAGATTTATTAAAAATAAAAACAATCCGCTAATTAAAAACAAACTGATCTGAATTTATTTACATTTAGTGTGGAAGGATTGTAAACATCTTGTCACGCAGAAACCTTAAGAATTTTAGTAACCAAGAAAAAAACATGGAATAAATAACCATCAATGCCAAATTTAATGCTGAACAGTTGCTTAGATCTTTAGAGGATTTTTCCATAGTTAAGGAAAATGGGATGATTTATAATTTGACAGGATTATTTTTTTTTATGTTTTCTTGCTTTTAGAAATGATCAATGTTTAAAGATTCCAGTCTTAATTGAGGTTTGTAAATTACCGCTCACTTTACTAATTACAATTTAGACAGAAGAACTTAGTTTGTTTTGGTATTTTTAGCAACAAGGTTTATCTCAGGTAAGAAAACCAAACACAAAGTTTTTAATTTTTTCCATTTTAATGTCGTATTCAGCATGATTACTGGGTCTTTTTGAGTTCTCCACAGTTATTAATACGTCTGAGATATTAGGGATGAGAGAAAAAATTATTAATGGAAACCAAAATCCAGGTTCTTAGATATAATCAAGATTTCTAAAAAATCATATTTACAATCCAATCCTATGATAATGAAACTATAATTTGTTAGATATAATCCAGGTTTTTATATATTAAGAACTCACCACGTTAACCTGTGCCATAGTGTAGATGAGAATAATCGAGAAGATCGTGATCGCCAGCCGGAGAAGGAAGGATCGAGATAGATCCCAGAGAATACATCTAATAAATATTAAAAATATTTTAATCAAAGAGTTTTTAATCAAAAAGAATAAGAATTGGAGTATTATGGAGCTAATCAATAATTTATAAACATGACATGGCGCGCTTTTATTTGTCATTTATCAACAAAATCAAACTTTACATAACATTTTCTTTTTTACTTTTTCAAACCTTAACCATGTAGAATTAGATAGAGCAGAGTTGAAAGTATGTATAAATTAATCACTACTTTAGATATATGAAATTGAAAACTGATTGTTCATTAATCGACGATATCAAACTTGGCGTAAAATTGTGTTATACTTTTTCTTCAAACTACAGTGATACCCATAAAACTGTTGAAGAGAAAGACGACAATTAAACTCAAGTTGCAGTGTACTCAATAAGTTAATTTTCAAGTATTTTTTTTGCTGTAAACATTATCAAAGACACATATGATTGCTTAAACATCGTCGTCCTACAATTTACAATTTAATTTTTCAAATATGATTAATGAAACGATAATCACAAAATCGCCCTAGGCCTAGTCCTCCCATTTCCAAAATGTGGTCTGCCTTTTTGGGGCATTTAAGATTGTCAAAGATATATTAAAGTCCCCTGATTAACTGGCAATTAATTCCGGGTCTTCCTGATTAAAAATCTGAAGTTTCAGCTCCTGAGATTGACCCTATGGGTATAATTGGTATAAGATGTAGGTGTAGAAAACTCACTTAATCTGACCGCTAGGAGGAGCATGAGATTGACCCTTTGGGTATAATTGATATAAGATGTAGGTGTAGAAAACTACCTTAATCTGACCGCGCTAGGAGGAGCATGAGATTGACCCTATGGGTATAATTGATTTAAGATGAAGGTGTAGAAAACTACCTTAATCTGACCGCTAGGAGCATGAGATTGACCCTATGGGTATAATTTATATAAGATGTAGGTGTAGAAAACTACCTTAATCTGACCGCTAGGAGGAGCATGAGAATGACCGCAATCCAGATGAATGCTGTAAGGAAGAGAAGGAGTAGGATAGTTGTCCTGGGTAGAACCAGAGCCTAAATATATTCAGGTTTCTGGAAACTATTAAATACATTCTCACCTCGCAGGGAGGATAAACGATCTTTCATTGATGAAATCGTTACAAGGACTGTAGATGTAATTATTTAGTGATCCTTCAATTGATACATTTTCATGTACGATTCACAACTATACTCTTATATGATTTATCTGTTCAAGAATGCATCAGATGTTAATAACTTTCTCTTTGAAAATTGATTATCTTTAATTGTGGTTTCTCTATAAAGGAATATACTGTAATAATAAGCACATTTCAAGGTAGACAAACGACTGCGTTCTCGACATTTTTGATCAGATAAAGGTGTATTACAAGTACTGTTTTGAATCGGACATGCCTCCTGTAAATAGAAAGGTAAATTGAAATTACAAAGACAGTCTCTTCTAGCCAAATAAAGATAATTCCATTTATTCATTAGTTTCCAACTCCGGAGTAAGATAGATTGATAGAAAGTGTGAATTTTATTTGATAAGTTTTCTATATCTGAAATGATTGCAGTAACTCATTCAGTTTCATGTCAAAACATAATTATTAATCATTCCCCTTTCAGGGAGGCCGGCCGCAGGGGGTGGAGACTAAACAAAGGACGGAATTCATATCCATTAGAAAAATCAGAATTGCTAAAGTTTTAGGTTAAAGTTAGGATAAAGATTTGATTGATCGTCGAATGAGTAGAATTTTAAGTTTAACATCAGATAAGCGGGAATAGATTTAAGGTTATAACTAATAAATTTAGATAAGAATGTAGCGTAAGAAGTAAAGATATTTATGGTTTTTGAACTTTTGTTTGGATAATGTTAAGAAGGGTTCAAGTGATATAATGAGTGCTAAGTTTTAAAAAGTATAATTGTTTTTTACCTGTATTCCTCCAAGTAGAAGAGTAAGTATAAGTGAGCAGGACAAGGAAGAAGGAAACCCTATATCCGGATCCTCCTGGTACATCCGTTCTTTATCTGAATCTCTGAAGGAGAGTGTAATAGAGTTTACGTGGTTAGTTTTCTCCTGGTCCACTGATCTAGCATCAATTGCCTAAAAATAAAAAATAAATATAAAAAATGAAAAATAATGTTAAGATAAAAAGATTAATATTTACATGGCTAAAGATTACTTTTTATATTAAATTTTGGATTTATAATCAGAACAGAATATGTTTTCAGATTGAAATTAAAATTCAAAATTACGTTGAAGGTCGGAGTGAATATAGCTAATTGAACCAGGTACGGAGAGTTTAACTAATTCTCTGATATGACCTAGAGTGCACAAAAGAAGTAGCTGAGCTAGCGAGTTAAACTGAACTGATTAAAGGGAGTGACCGGTAATGTATGGCAGTTGAACTGAGAATGTAGTATTGTCGAGAAAATTTTTAGGATTCATTTGAGACATATTAAAAGTTTTAATGATGTATAATTACTGAGTTTGAGCTCAAAGTCGACATTGAAAATCATCCATTTGGGTGGTTACGTTTTGACAGTCGATTTTTACAGCTTCAGGTTGCATAGAGCTCTGAATTAGAAATTTAAACTTGTGGCAAAAACTCAATTCCTTCGGGTGTAGAGATATCAGAGATATACTCACATGGGAGAGGAATCTATTAACTCTGTTTGATGGTTGATGAAGGGTTGCAGTTCCATGACGTTTTCTCCGAATCTTGAACCGATCTGAGAACTTCATCTGATAAAACAGAAGGGATTTAAGAATGTATAAGATTGAAAAACTAAACGGAGACTAAAACTTTTGGTTGTAATGGCGCTGAGACACACCGACTATATACTCGATATCCACAACGTAAACTTTTTAAATAAAAGATTTAAGATTAACTCCGTGGATTTATTAGACAATTCAAACAAGAAATTAAAATATTTTTAAAGGGTTTTCTGTGTCTGAGGAGCTAGGGGGAAGCATATTAAAACAGATTTAAAATATACTAGCTGAAGTGCCCGGCGTTACCCGTAGACACTTCGATTTTTTTTTTTAAAAAACCCGATTTTTAAAGTCTTTGTCACCCCAGTGTATACCCATTGGTTCCCTCAAGCTACTATTTTAAATATATTTATATATATATATACAATACATATGTATATATATATAATTATATATATACATATACAATACATATATGAGCGAAGAGCTTTATTTTATAGATACAAAATTTTAACCCCTGATAGTCTGATAATAAATCAAGATTGGTGAACATGGAATTAAAGAAAGAATAGGTTCAGTGTTCAGTGTTTAGAGTTGCAGAAATAATCTAATTATGGAATATAAAGTTGTTAAACAAGTTTCATTATTTATGCAGTACGCTTTTAACAACTATATTAAACAGGATGGTTTACAAATAGGAAAAGATAACAAAATTTCTAATTTTTCTCTAATGTAAAAATAATTGCTTGATTTTTTCAAAAGAAAAAACCCGTTTCCTTGAAAAAATATATTTTGTGTGAAGTATCGTTATTCTTGAACACATGATCTCGATATCCAATATTGCCACTTTTAAATTTGATGGTCTAATCAATCCGTAGATCTGCTGGAGATCAATGCAACAACACAAAAGTTCTGACTTCTGAGCTGGGAACTTTTGAATGGTGGATATCGGGATTAAGACTTGATCCACTCTTTTTCTTAATCTCGAGATTAAATAATGCTGGTTCTCCTCTTGTTATTAATCTCCAGATTAATTAACCGATCGGGATAAAGGATACCACATTCTAAAGTTTTCAGCTCTGGACAATTTTCTTTATTTTTTATTAATTTACTTAACTTTCATCATTTTAATACTTTTTATATTAACTTCTTTCTCACATGTGATTTTACAGTGGGTGGAGTTCACTCAAGTTATATAATAAGGTTATTAGTTACTCTCGATGTACGGAAAATGTCGTCGCCCAAGATAGATAGATAAAAAAACCAATATGCATCACTGATTATAGAGGCGACAGTGACGTTATATGAGGTTTTTAGTTATCTACCTTTTAAGACAACATTTTACGTACATTGGAGCGCATCGAGAGTAACCAACCGTATTATACAACCTTGAGTTCACTGAAACTGTTCGATGTAATATAAATGTGAAGACAACTTTCTAACTTGTTATTGAAGTCCTATCACTTGAACCTTGTTTTGCAAGCAAAAAATAATGAATAGATAAAAGAAAAGATGATTAATAAAAGAGTGAATCCATAACAAACCATAATAATTCCTAGCTCCGTAGAGAATAGAATAGTTAGCATTGTTCATATTTAATGATTAACCATTTATATTCATGTCTCTAAATCATCAGTGTGAAGAGAAAATAGATGAGAAAAAAATATAAAAATATAAATGTGGACAGGCCGGTGAACCATGATTTATATTCTATTTGAATGTAGGTGACAGTGACAGTGACACCTAAAGTTGTTGAATGGACATACGGAAATGAGTGAATGAATGAATGAATGAATGAATGAATGAATGAATGAATGAATGAATGAGTGAATGAATGAATGAATGAAAGGATAGGTGAAAGGAAGGATGAATGAATGAATGAATGAATAAATGAAAGAAAGGATGGGTGAATGAATGAATGAATGAATGTAAGGAAAAATAAACTTACCGGTCCCAAATCTCCGTTAAGATGCTTGAACAAAATTTAATTAAAATTTACAGGATAAAAAGGACATTTCAAACTTTTAACAAATAATACTTGTTGTAATAAAATATTAATGTTGTGAACAATGAAAATGTGGTATCTAAACAGTTAACTGAAAAACATGTTTGTTCGGTCTTCTTCCGTTTTAAAGACGACATTCATTAATACCTTCTTTGTAGTCATCGTCTTCTGCATCTCCACTGGCTGTTGGGTAATATTGGAGAAGGGAACCTCCATGGAGAACTTAATAGAGTGGAGGAGCTGAACCACAAGACTGGAGACAACCTTGAAGCTAGGTTTCTTCTTACCACCACCTAGTAAATAGTTCTATCAGAGTTTAGTCTAGTCACACTCACATATCTTTAAAAAATGTATCAGGACAAGGTTGAAGAAGTTCTCTTGAGTCAGTATCTTAACTATCCAGGAGCAGGATAACCCTAAATATAAATTCTAATTTAGAAACCATTAGAGAAAATAAAATAGGTGTAGGTATCTTGAATCCAGGGTTTCTCCTCCAATCATGGACTATAGCGTTCAACCATGCCAGCAGCAGGATTGTAGGTTTAAGTGTAGGTATCTTGAATCCAGGGTTTCTCCTCCAATCATGGACTATAGCGTTCAACCATGCCAGCAGCAGGATTGTAGGTTTAAGTGTAGGTATCTTGAATCCAGGGTTTCTCCTCCAATCATGGACTATAGCGTTCAACCATGCCAGCAGCAGGATTGTAGGTTTAAGTGTAGGTATCTTGAATCCAGGGTTTCTCCTCCAATCATGGACTATAGCGTTCAACCATGCCAGCAGCCGCGGCTCAAATATGGTTGGTTCCACTTAAAATTGTATTAAATTTTTCAAGCTTTAAGCCGGCGCTCAATTGAAACCGGTTTTTGGAGGATTTGAGACGCGGCTTAAATTCATTAAATTCGGACACTGATCAATAATTTGGAACTTATTGTCGTTTTTTTAGGGTTAAAAGTGTTCAGTTTAGATAATTTCTATCTTTATGTTTTCCTTCAGTAGATATGCGCAAGTCACTTTTGTAGTGAAACAAAATTTAAAAAATTATCAGTTTTCGAAATTCTAAACATTGCAATCTTATTCACATTTTTAAGCGAACCGATGTGAGTCGGGCATTGTCTATTTTCATATGAAGGGTCGGATCACTACAAATTACGCTTACAGTCCCTTTAAATCAATATTTAGCTACCCTACTCCTATAGAACGTCATGTAAGGAATTAAGTTTCTTCTCTGGAACCAATAGTTTAATTATCCCCGGAGAAGGATCATATTTGTTCTCATATACTCGAATCCACTCATAGATAAACCTTACACCGGAGCCAAGGACTTGAAACCATAATTAATAATAATCAACTATGACCTGTAACAGAACTGAGTCGTTTGCTAATTCTCATATTTTTGCAAACAGATGGTGGAAACCTTTGATTTTTCAAACTTAGATTATTTGATGTAAAAGAATTAAAAGTTTGAAATATCAAAGGTTATTGACAACTGGGTTGCAAAGATATAGGGATTATAAGATCAAAGCTTGTGACCAAGACTCAATTCCTTTGATTTCATGTTTAATTTAGACTTGGAACAGACAAAGGATTTTCAAGACATTCACGATTCATGTTACTTAATAGAAGTTATTGCTTGTAAATTATTTAAAAATTGTATATTGCAAATAGTTTTTCTAGTAGCATAAAAAAACATTTATAAAGCAAACCGGTTTATCCACGCTTGACAACTGCTTTGTCTAATGTACATTGGACTATTAAATATCTTGACTTGAGTCTAAAAGTCGTCTTCCTATTCCAGAGTTTTCTGGTTCTCACTGTAGTAGCAGAGTATTCATTTAAATTCTATTCCCCAAACCTTCTTATTCTAAGATACAGAGCAATGAACATAAATCCTTTGTCCGAAATAATGAAAGTTAGCTCAGTATCAGAGAAATAATAATTCTCGGACAGAGAAGAGACGATTCATCTTACTCAGGGTAGGGTTTACAATAGGAAGATAAACCCAGAAACTAATAGAAGTTAAGCAAGGGAAAACATGTTGTAAAGCCTGTCAGAAGAAAATATGCTAGCTACAGATTAATTAGGTTCTGAGCATAATTACATAGTTACGACCTTGTAATAACGAATTAAAACATAATAATTACATAAACGAATCCTAGAGGAATAAAAAGAAAATTACATAAAAAGAATATTTACCAACTGTATTAAAGACGTTGAGAGTGTTGAACAAGAATGGTTTCCTACGGTGGGACGGAGGAACTATCAGAAATGTTGTCACATTGTTTTCTCTAAATTATAAAAGTTTATAAAATATAATTTTTTTTGCTAATTTTTTTATGCAACATTGAACCTGAGATATAAAAACTTTTCAGAATATAAAGAAACTACTTCGAATACTTTTTTTAAATTAAGATTTTAAGGAAGCTTCTTTTTAAAACTGTGCCCCTGAGCATTTCTAAATATATATTACTCGTACAATTACAAATTACAAAAAGCTTAGAAACATTTCTTAATTACAGGGTTACCCACAAAGGATGAGACCAAAACCTAGATATAACAATGTGAAGGTGAAATTGGATCCCTTGATTATAGTCTTTTTATGATTTACAAAATTATTTCCAAACGAACAGAAAAAAGTTTACAGTTGCAAGGAACCCAGAAGGTCAGAAACTAGACTGAATAACTTCCGTACAGTCGTCTCACCCCTTGTGGGTGACCCTGTAAAATAAAGAACGAAGACGACGATCATGTCAGGGTTTGTTGGTTCCTACTGTACCTAAGATACTGGTTCCTTGTATGTCCTAGACCAGGTTCCACCTGATATTCTCCTCGAAGGTTCTCCAGGGTGCTCTGGGTTATGTGAACGCGCCTGAAAAAAAAAATTCCAAAATGCAACCGAAAAAAACTTAAACTGTTTCAGGATAGAATAAAATAAAATGTTGGATGAGGCATGGTTGAAAGTTTTGAAAGGTTTGATCTTTACTCTTCTCTGGAACACTTTACTCATTTAATTTATTCTCCTGAATCTAATCTATCATCTTTCTGCAATAATTCCCCCTCACCTTCAATACATTGTTTTTCTAACTATCAGGGGGGTAGAAAATATATTAAAAAGTCAAAAATGTACCAAAAACTAAAATTTTTGTTTCGACAGCTACAGATTGGAGTCTCCAACTTCCAACTTAATAATACTAATAATAATAATAATGATAGTAATAATAATAATAATATTAATAATAATTACCCCGGAATACCCCCTGCTTCCATATTGTTTGCAAGAGTGACGTCATTGGACCAAACATCGTACTGCCATTTTCTGAGTCCCAGAACTCCACAGAGTACTCGACCGGAGTGTAAACCAACTCTCATGTTCAGTTCAACCTCTGTAGCCTCAACAACAGACCTGGAGAACAATATTTGTTATGAAACGTTATATTTTAGAAAAACTTAAATTTTTGAAACCATTTTTATTCTTGAATATTTATTAATGGAAGGTGTGGATTGTGGAAGGTAAAAAGGGGATTTTTAGAGAAAAACATAATTAAGCTAATAAAGAAGATCCTTTAGAAGATCTTTTATCAGTTCGCTAGTTCCGGAGAAGAGTAAATTCTTTTAATCCCGAATCTAAAGTCTAAAAGTCTAATTAAACACATCATGAAAAAGCTGGACTGTACGATTATATTCTTTAGGACATAGTGTAATGTCACGTGGGATGGGGAAGAGGGCATTATTCCCTCCGGATTCAATTTCAGGAAGAAATTGTAGTTTCATAAAAGATTATATTGGCGAACTTGGAAATAAATAGTTTTTTCTCTCTCTCCAGGATCAGGAACAAATAGAGAGGAAGAAATATGTTACTGGAGAAATCTTGATATAAAAAAATAAATAATATTTGAAAACAAATAAATCATATTTTAGATTAGAAATGTTCAGCAAAGGATTTATTTCTCTCTCTTCATTCACATTTCAGAGTCAAAGCAAAGTAGAATAAACGATTTTTGAATTGTTATTTGATGGTTTTGAGGATTTTAAACAGTAGTAAAGTAGTAATCTCTGTTTGAATGTCCGAACATAACCGATTTGCCTCAAATTTTGATTTGACAACTTGGTAGAACCAAAGGGAATTTCGTAGTATGGTTTAAAAATATTAAGTTGAGTGGGTTGACTTTTATAGGAAAAATATAGTTTCCAGTGGCCGAATTTAAAGAATTTGAGCGGCGGTTTAAATTGAAGCCGCGGCTTAAATATGGTTGGTTCCACTTAAAATTGTATCAAATGTTTCAAGATTTAAGCCGGCGCTTAATTTAAACCGGGTTTTGGCAGATTTAAACCCCGGCTCAAATTCTTTAAATTCCATCTCAGGTTAAGCTGGGTTCCCAAGCTAGTATTGAACAATAAAACCACTGACAATTTTAATTTGTTAAAAACCAGTCATAAAAACATTATTTGGGTCAGCTCTACAAATAAGAAAGCCAAGAAAAACATTCAAATATAATCTATATAATTTCCCAAGTTGCGGAACAGTGGTGTTTGTAAAGAAATATTTACAATCTAAAATTTACAGGAATATAAGCTTTTTTACGAAAGAGTTTTTTTTTAGCAGAATTAGCATAATTTGTAGAGTATTGTTTATGAATCTTAACTAAAGAACTCTGATATTGATATAAAAAATTGGTGTCTAGAAATACGGAAATCCTCTTTTTGGTGCTAAACTTTTTGTAAGAGAACAATAATATAGGACATTTCTTGCAAGTTGCACACCCTTTTAGGCAAAATATATAATATTTGATTTCTTAAGATCTTAAATTTTGCTGTAGTTAAAAAGTGTTTATTTTGGTCTCATATTGGAGAGTTTTGTTTGCTTCCTGATTTTTTTTATAAACCTACCGATGCGGAACGGTTTAAAACAATGCTTAAACAGCAAACATATAATAATTTAAGGTTGTTATAGATTTCAATACTTTCTAATATACCAGAGGTTAAGCTGAAAGGAAATGTCACTTACAGCCGAAAACGATTAACATCTGTATCCTTTAAACGTATAATTGAATAATAATTGAAAATAATCTCCGCTTTTCAAGTAAAGATTCATTAGAGGGCTGATGTTGTATATCCAGGATATAAGTTAGGAGAGGGCTGTTGTTGTATATCCAGGATATAAGTTAGGAGAGGGTTGATGTTGTATATCCAGGATACAAGTTAGGAGAGGGTTGATGTTGTATATCCAGGATACAAGTTAGGAGAGGGCTGATGTTGTATATCCAGAATATAAGTTAGGAGAGGGTTGATGTTGTATATCCAGAATATAAGTTAGGAGAGGGTTGATGTTGTATATCCAGGATATAAGTTAGGAGAGGGTTGATGTTGTATATCCAGGATACAAGTTAGGAGAGGGTTGATGTTGTATATCCAGGATATAAGTTAGGAGAGGGTTGATGTTGTATATCCAGGATATAAGTTAGGAAAGGGCTGATGTTGTATATCCGGGATATAAGTTAGGAGATAGTTGGTGTGGTATATCCGGGATATAAGTTAGGAGATAGTTGGTGTGGTATATCCAGGATACAAGTTAGGAGATAGTTGGTGTGGTATATCCAGGATATAAGTTAGGAGATAGTTGGCGTGGTATATCCAGGATACAAGTTAGGAGAGGGTTGATGTTGTATATCCGGGATATAAGTTAGGAGATAATTGGTGTGGTATATCCAGGATACAAGTTAGGAGAGGGTTGATGTTGTATATCCAGGATACAAGTTAGGAGAGGGCTGATGTTGTATATCCAGAATATAAGTTAACCTTAAACAAACCTTTCCCGTCCCCTCTCTAGCTCCTTCTCCTTAAACAAACCTTCTCCGTCCCCTCTCTATCTCCTATCCCTTAAACAAACCTTCCCCGTCCCCTCTCTAGCTCCTCTCCCTCAAACAAACCTTCCCCGTCCCCTCTCTAGCTCCTACTCCTTAAACAAACCTTCCCCGTCCCCTCTCCAGCTCCTATCCCTTACACAAACCTTCCCCGTCTCCTCTCTATCTCCTATCCCTTAAATAAACCTTCCCCGGCCCCTCTCTAGCTCCTATCCCTTAAACAAACCTTTCCTCTTCTACCGTTTCTCATGAACCCTTTAATCAATGTAAATGAGTTTTGTTCTTTACAAAATATTCTTTACAATTAGAAAAAAAATTTGGAATTGAAAAATGAGTTTATTTTCATTTCATGAATTCCCATATTAAAGGGACACCTGCGTTTGATTTTTATTCGTTTCTTCCCCTCCCTCCCTCTACATTATTTAAATAAAAGTGAAAGTATCATTCTAAAATGAGTCATAATAAAAACCTCGGAAGTATATTGGAGTTAGCTTTGGTCTTCCTGGAGTCCCAAATAAAGAAATTTCTCATCAAATCTGGATTTTACAAGGAAGAAAAAAGCAGGGAATAAAAAGAAAAAAAACAACATGAAGGAAGAGGGTCTATTATCAATCCTTTATTATATTCTAATTAACCAAACTCCAATACATTGCCAATCCTTCATTATATTCTAATTAACCAAACTCCAATACATTGCCAATCCTTCATTATATTCTAATTAACCAAACTCCAATACATTGCCAATCCTTCATTATATTCTAATTAACCAAACTCCAATACATTGCCAATCCTTCATTATATTCTAATTAACCAAACTCCAATACATTGCCAATCCTTCATTATATTCTAATTAACCAAACTCCAATACATTGCCAATCCTTCATTATATTCTAATTAACCAAACTCCAATACATTGCCAATCCTTCATTATATTCTAATTAACCAAACTCCAATACATTGCCAATCCTTCATTATATTCTAATTAACCAAACTCCAATACATTGCCAATCCTTCATTATATTCTAATTAACCAAACTCCAATACATTGCCAATCCTTCATTATATTCTAATTAACCAAACTCCAATACATTGCCAATCCTTCATTATATTCTAATTAACCAAACTCCAATACATTGCCAATCCTTCATTATATTCTAATTAACCAAACTCCAATACATTGCCAATCCTTCATTATATTCTAATTAACCAAACTCCAATACATTGCCAATCCTTCATTATATTCTAATTAACCAAACTCCAATACATTGCCAATCCTTCATTATATTCTAATTAACCAAACTCCAATACATTGCCAATCCTTCATTATATTCTAATTAACCAAACTCCAATACATTGCCAATCCTTCATTATATTCTAATTAACCAAACTCCAATACATTGCCAATCCTTCATTATATTCTAATTAACCAAACTCCAATGCATTGCCAATCCTCCTTTGTTTTATCCAACCTAAAAACTTATCTCCATTATTATATAACATATATTGCCCTGCTGAATGCTTCTGGTCAGAGAAGAAAAGGCCCAGCAAACTTTTTAATAGAGTTTCAGTTGCAGGGTATCTTAGTTTTGTATAATAGAGATAGGTTATTTACACTCATTTATAGAGATCAAATTAAAGAGTTTTTGAAAGTTGCAATTAATCAATTAGTAGTGACCAGTAAATCCATTAAAACATAATTAAGAGATATTATAGCAGCTTGAAAACCCGGCTTTGACCGGAAACTAGACAATAAACATCAACCTAGTTAATTTGGAATTATTTAACCAAGAATTTCATAAGATTACTTCTTTACATATGTAGATAACTGGATGGTATGCAACAATTTGAATAAAAATGCTTAACTTTAAAGTAGACTGGTAGTCTATCTATCATATTTATCTAGATTTATATTCAAATTTTCTGTACAAAAGATTTTGATATATATCATCAGCCAGGTTATAAAACGGTTTTTCAATTTCATGATTCTTTGCAGAAATATCAACTAGAAAGTATCACTCATTAATACATAATTTATTTAATTATGGTTTGTTCATTATATAAACCATCTTTCATATCTGGCAACCCCTCCCACTTGTTGAGATAAATAGGTGACACAAAACTTACATTTGCGAGCTGGTCAAACCGGCCGAACAGTTCGTTGAGTAGGCGGACAAGGTCCTGGGCTGTACACTGGGAGGACAAGGTTGTGAAACCAACTATATCAGCAAACAGGATACTGAAATATATCCAAAAAACCTTTTTTAACACAGCTCAGATTGGAAAATAGAGAATTTTAGAAGCAATTTGCAAAATATAATGAGGCAATAAAAAGGGAAAAAGTAAAGTTTAAAATTAGAAAAGCAGTTTCATTAGTTTTGCATTTATTTCCTTGATTTCACTGAAAGAACAAGAACCGTTCTTGTTCATATAGACAAAGGTTATAAAGGGTGTAGTTGTAAATCAGACATGTCACTCAATAAATCTTGAACTTGAAATCACGTCTACATTCCCATAAAGTGTATTGTGTTCCTTCCATATATTGTATATCATTATAAGTAAATACCATCCTAATTATTTTACAGTATTATTGTCTACAGTATTATCATATTACTAATATATCTGATAATCCTTAATAAATATTTCTATTCATTTATTCATTAATCATTGTCTTTATTTACCGTTCCTCCACTCTCCATTCTTACATTCATTTATTATATTTCTTATGTATACACTTTACAGCACATTGTAAATGTAACAATGTTACACAAAGTTTCTTTACGTAATCATTTGATTTAGTTTTACTGTAGTCGCAGGTTTAAAGTTTAATTTAATAAGAAACAAACAAAAAACATGTAGATAGATTCATGCAAGGTACTAATGCAAGGAAAGTTATTTCAGAGGTGTACACATTTTTTGTACTGCAGTGTACGGTCTTTGGGCGGAAAAGTAAACATAAGACGGATGTCAAAGCCTGACATGGAATCAAGTTTCACAAAAATAATCAATGAAATAATCTGGTCATAGGAAACTATTATGTGAATTTTCAAAATTATCAAAATTCAATGCTTTTATCCTCCTCGGATACTAAACGAACACTGATGCATCTATTCTTGTTTACAAATTCCGCCCAGAGAGAACTGGTTTCAATATGTGCGCAAAGTATACGCAACTGCAATTAACTTTCCTTGCATTAGTACCTTGGATTCATGTATCTTATATCCGGCCAGGGCCCAGGGTGTGTAAAAACCATGTAGATAGATTCATGTATCTTATATCCGGCCAGGGCTCAGGGTGTGTAAAAAAATTGTACACTTAACATTATTTACAAGGCAACGGGGGGAAAAAAAATCAAAATTTTCATTTTCACTTTTTTTCGTGCAAGTTTTCTGGATTGTATGATAAGAGACAAATCTTTCATTATCCAAACTGTTACGTATGAAGACTCTTATCCCTCCCCCCTTTCCCTTTTTCCNCTAAATATGTCTTATTGATTGCATGACACGTAAATTAAGGGAACCCATGGAACGAAGACAAAAACTTGAAAAATGTATTTCTACTCCATATCCCACCCCCTCTCCTCCCTTGTTCTCCAGGTACCCTTGTAACCTACCCCCTAGCTCCGACATTGAAAATATGCTCCTCAGGTGATTTATTCTCAGCTAATGCGACGGCACATTAAGTAAACCTATTACTTAAATTAATGATACAATTTTACTTTAAATTTCATTGCATGGGAGGTTAAAGGGAGGACCAGGATTTGTGGTAGATATCAGAAGTGGGTGTGGTAAATATTAACGACAGAGTAGGGGTGGCAGAAGGAAAAGAGTTCGTGTGGTAAATTTATTTAGAAAGGAACAAGGTGTGGTTTGTTTGTTTAGGAGTTAAATAGGTGTGGTAAATGTATTGAGGAGAGAAGGGTGTGTGGTAAATATGTTCAGCAGAGAAGGTTGTCTGGTAAATGCATTGAGGAGAGAAGAGTGTGTTGTAAATGTATTGAGGAGAGAAGGATGTGTGGTAAATTTATTGAGGAGAGAATGGTGTGTGGTAAATTTATTGAGGAGAGAATGGTGTGTGGTAAATTTATTGAGGAGAGAATGGTGTGTGGTAAATTTATTGAGGAGAGAATGGTGTGTGGTAAATTTATTGAGGAGAGAATGGTGTGTGGTAAATTTATTGAGGAGAGAATGGTGTGTGGTAAATTTATTGAGGAGAGAATGGTGTGTGGTAAATTTATTGAGGAGAGAATGGTGTGTGGTAAATTTATTGAGGAGAGAATGGTGTGTGGTAAATTTATTGAGGAGAGAATGGTGTGTGGTAAATTTATTGAGGAGAGAATGGTGTGTGGTAAATTTATTGAGGAGAGAATGGTGTGTGGTAAATTTATTGAGGAGAGAATGGTGTGTGGTAAATTTATTGAGGAGAGAATGGTGTGTGGTAAATTTATTGAGGAGAGAATGGTGTGTGGTAAATTTATTGAGGAGAGAATGGTGTGTGGTAAATTTATTGAGGAGAGAATGGTGTGTGGTAAATTTATTGAGGAGAGAATGGTGTGTGGTAAATTTATTGAGGAGAGAATGGTGTGTGGTAAATTTATTGAGGAGAGAATGGTGTGTGGTAAATTTATTGAGGAGAGAATGGTGTGTGGTAAATTTATTGAGGAGAGAATGGTGTGTGGTAAATTTATTGAGAAGANTAAGAAAAATGCTCTCATAAAATGTACAAAAATATTGTCAATATTGTAAAAATAATAATTTTCTTCTAATATCAGTTGAAATATTTTGACACATTTAATATTATTTCCGGTTGCTCAAATATTATTCTCCAACCTCAGGTTGCGTTTTTTTTTATTTCTTTATCTTTAGCTTCAGGGGTTAAATATGTATAAACAAGTGTTGTAGAGCTTTAAACTAAATATTTTGAATTCTAGAGACGATAAGTGTGTTTTTTTTTGGGGTTGATAAATTCCAAGAGAAAACCGGCCTTGTTTTGTTTATAATCAAGTTATAAAGAATTTCTGTTGTATGCGTGAGAATAAGTATTTTTGATGATAAAATGAAATATAAGCATTCTCATCTGTTCAGAATATAGAACAAGGTCTTAAAGGGAAATAGTTAACGTAATTTTACTTCCGGAACAACCGTACCCTTTACACCTTTGATGAAGATATTTTTGCTTTCCTCCAAAAAGTGATAATTTGCACTCGCTGCAATTCAAGAAAGAGGCTGACACAAGTTTATAATGCAAGGAAAGTTAATAGCGGTCGCGTATACTCTGCGTACATATTGTAACCAGTTCTCTCTGGGCGGAATTTGTAAACAAGAATAGATACATCAGTGTTCGTTTTTGGATATTTTGGAAATATCCTAATTTTTTTGGAGAAAATCCGGGAACCAATCAAAACATTATAGCACACGTGCTATAATATACAGCTAATTTAACTTTTCATTATGAAATTCACAATGAAGTGAAGAAGAATGAAGTACACAATAGTTTCATAATATGAATCTTGAATCTTTGATAGCACTCTTTTATTGAAATACCACTTAAATCTTTATTAACAGTCCCTTTAAATTTGCTCTGTGTTTAATTATATTATAAACAAAAAATCTAGAATATTTATCATATGACATCAAAGTATATCAATTGTTTAAAGCAATTTCTATGTCAAAAGTACGTAAAGGTGCATCTCCCCAAAAGCACGTGTTTTAACAAGAGTGCATAATGTTGAAAACGTGATAAAAAGGCAATCCTGTTATTTGCGAACAAGCTGATTAACTTTTATAGGAGGTGGGATGGAGAGAGAGGGGGTTCACGACAATCTCATATTTGAAATGAACTCTAACCCGACAAAAATATGATTATATCTTTAAAAATCTGCACAATGAGATTTACATTCTGGAAAATGTCAGTGTTTAGTTTATGAAGAAGTGAAAAAAATATATTTTAGTTGAAAAATATTTATTCTTTGTAATTAATCATTTCAGTGGTGAAATTATGTCTATTTATTATTCAGAATTAGGGGCGATAGATTTTTACGATTCCACTTCTCCACTGCAGAAAGGAATTGAATCTTTGCCACAAATTCTGATATTCTAATTCCTATATCTTTAGAACCTGATGCCAATACATTAGATATTTTAGATCATAAATTCTGTTAGATCAAATAATCTAAGTTTAAAATATTAAAGGTATACACCATCAGGTTTAAAGATATAGGCAATAGAATATTTCGTGGCAAAGACTTAGTTCCTTTAAGGTAAATGCAAGCAAGAGAAAAATATTCTTTAAAATACAACACAATGTTCGTATTAAAACTCGGAATTCAGAACTCGAAAAATGATTTTTAAGTTTAAAAATTGTCCCAAAAAACTAATTTTTTGGGCCATAAATCAAACAATTTTGTGAATTAATAAAAAAAAACAGTATTTACCAGCTTCAGGCGCATCTTTTGACATGATCGAAATGTTAAAAAGATTTAGAATTTTTTTAGGGACTTTTTAATCTTTTAAAATGCCTAAATATCAATAGACTAAATATCATAGGTACCTATGAGCCTGATTATCGACATTTTTTTTAAATGTCTAAATATCAATAGACTAAATATCATAGGTTTTACATGATATTCGACATAAAAACGCTTGTTTTTATAAGCACCTGCACATTACATCTCAGATAGAGTAGGTTGAATTCTTAAACATAGACAAAAATCAACCTTAATCAGCATTGTAATTTATTTACCTGACGTTCTCATGTCGTTGAATATAGATCTTATGAAATTGTCCCTCGACAGGCGACATGATGTCTCCCTTCATCTCGACAGCGACATGCTGGGGTAGGACAGACAGCAACAGTCGCTCCTATAACATTAATGTCGGCTTCAGTTTAAAGTGTGCAAAGTAAAGTGCCTTGATAATTATATTTTTTCCCCATTCTTTAAAAAAAAAATACGGCAGTTTTCTGAATTTTTCCCCACATTTAACAATCAAAGTTGCATAAGGTTGGAAATAAAAATATAAGCTATATGAACATTTATCTACATGCTAGTGTACGATCAATAAAACTACAACATTTCTTTCTTGGGCTTTTACATTTGTGAACATTTTTTTAGATAAAGTTTACTGAAAATTACCAACTTTTAAATTTAAATGTTAATTAATCATTTTTTTTAAATCATCAGCAGCAGTTTAAATACTGACAAGTTTAAACAAAAATTCCGGTTTCTTAATTTGTAAATATTTTTCCTAATTAAATATTTCTTTATGCTAATCTAAAATTTAAGTTTATATTAATCAAAATGGAGGAAAAGGGGAAAAATCGGTGGGAGGGAGAGATGAAAACAAAGTATGGATTGGGGAACACATTTGTACTTTAGTACAGCTCTGGGAAACTTTTTGGAGAGTGAAGTGAATCTAAAAGAGAATTATTTAAATTCTCGCAATATCAGATCTTTTATTGAGGAGAACCCCTCTCTCTCCTCATAGTTCTAGACTAGTATCCGTCCCCTCCTAATAGTAAATAAGTAAATCTAGGATAAAATAAATCTATAAATCTAGCAAATAAGTAAATCTAGGATAGAATAAATCTATAAATCTAGTAAATAAGTAAATCTTGGATAGAATAAATCTATAAATCTAGTAAATAAGTAAATCTAGGATAAAATAAATCTAAAAATCTATAAAAACAAGTAATCTGGAAACATTGAAATCCCCTCAAAATTAAAAATCCAAGAAAGCTTGTTATTGAATCTTAAAACTAAAAACTTTTTCATTAACCTTAATATTCATGAACAGCAAAAGCTGGTCAAGTTTTTACTGAAAGCCAATTTTTGATGGCTTTGTTTACTCTTTTATACAAACTAAACATTCTTCTATTTCTGTTTCATTTTATTATTGTTTTTCTAACAAAAATTATAAAATATAAAATGAGTTGTGGTGTTCATTCTTAATTCAGACACATTTTAATATATCTGGACACCTTGTAGACACATTTTAGTATAGTTGGACACCTTGTAGACACATTTTAATATATTTGGACACCTTGTAGACACATTTTAATATAGTTGGACACCTTGTAGACACATTTAAATATAGTTGAACACCTTGTAGACACAACTTAATATATTTGGACACCATGTAAACACATTTTAATATAGTTGGACACCTTGTAGACACAACTTAATATATTTGGACACCTTGTAGACACATTTTAATATAGTTGGACACCTTGTAGACACAACTTAATATATTTGGACACCATGTAAACACAACTTAATATATTTGGACACCTTGTAGACACAACTTAATATAGTTGGACACCTTGTAGACACATTTCAATATAGTTGGACACCTGTAAACACAACTTAATATATTTGGACACCTTGTAGACACATTTCAATATATTGGACACCTTGTAGACACATTTCAATATAGTTGGACACCTTGTAGACACATTTTAATATAGTTGGACACCATGTAGACACAACTTAATATATTTGGACACCTTGTAGACACATTTCAATATAATTGGACACCTTGTAGACACAACTTAATACAGTTGGACACCATGTAGACACAACTTAATATATTTGGACACATGTAGACACAACTTAATATATTTGGACACCATGTAGACAGAACTTAATATATTTAGACACCGTGTAGACACAACTTGATATATTTAGACACCATGTAGACACAACTTAATATATTTAGACACCATGTAGACACAGACACCGTGTAGACACAACTTAATATATTTTGACATTATGTAGACACAACTTAATAGATTTGGACACCATGTAGACAAAACTTAATATATTTGGACACCATGTAGACACAACTTAATATATTTGGACACCTTGTAGACACATTTTAGTATAGTTGGACACCTTGTAGACACATTTTAATATATTTGGACACCTTGTAGACAAAACTTAATATATTTGGACACCATGTAGACACAACTTAATATATTTGGACACCATGTGGGCCCATCTTGACATATTACCATTTGTATTTGGTCAAGACCACTAAATTGTAACAAGATTAATCTACTGGAGGAACAGGAGGGGAATTATTTTTTAACAAATTTATAAAATATAATTGTTTTATGTATTTGCAATCTAGTTTATTAATCATGGAAAATTAACCATAATCGTCATGATTTTTGCAAAATAGATTAATTTATTCGACAGTATTCACCCCTGTTAATCCAGTAATGGAGCCTGTTTTTAGTTCCATTTACTCGAAACTAGCTAAATAAGGAATAATTTGTTCCATACAAATACACATGATTTGGTAAAGCTTGGGTACTATGCAACAAAATACAATAAAAGTAAGTTTAAAGTAAAAACTGAACGAACTATTTAGCGTCTCAAGTAAAGTCATCTTAATATAAATTATCTATCTATTCCTCTATCTATCCTACCGTTTTCCTAACTCTTCACTTTTGAACCCCCCCTCCCACCCTCAACCACAATATCAATAAAAACACCCTTTCCCTTCGAATATTATGACCTCGAGACTCCTTGGTATCTATAACCTCCACCCTAACCAGTTCCCTGTTAGTGTATAAAATTATATTATATTCCTGTATAGAAGGCATAATTGAATGAACCCAACTTCAAAGACGGTAATGTTCCACTAGATATTCAACCCTTTTAAGGAATTGAGTCTTTGCCACAAACTCTGATTTTCTAATCACAATATCTTTGCCACCCAATGTCGTAGACCTTAGATATTTCAAACTATTAATTCTTTTAAAATATCAAAGTTTTACGCTAATCAGATAACACAGATATTGGGGTTAGCAACAGTTGAGTTTGTGACAAAGACTCAATTTCTTTAGTTCTTTTTTACATCTTCAACCATAGCTAGTATCTATATTCTTATTTTTCAGTTTTGTTTTTGCCAAAAGGAACTTTAATAATGAAAATGATTAATAAAGTATAAAGTGAAACTGTTAAAACTGTTATTAGACCATTTCTTTTCTTTCATCCTGATCAACAGATAAATAATATGTCTTTTCTTTCATCCTGATCAACAGATAAATAATATTTCTTTTCTTTCATCCTGATCAACAGATAAATAATATGTCTTTTCTTTCATCCTGATCAACAGATAAATAATATTTCTTTTCTTTCATCCTGATCAACAGATATTATATTTCTTTTCTTTCATCCTGATCAACAGATAAATAATATTTCATTTCCACTTTTTAACACCCTTTACTACCTTCTTCAATTTTCTATTTTATTTGCGGATTTTTAAAAACATTTTCAATTTAGTTTTCTCCTGTCTTAAAATGTTTGCCAGGGAAAACCATGTTAAGGAAGGAAAAAAACTATCCTTTAATTTGTTAGTTTCCCATTTTCATTTTACCAATCTTATTGAACATTTAAACTCCTTTTTACCCCCCCCCCCCCCTGCTTACCAATTTCTCATTCTCATCCTCCATATCCAGTCTAGCAGCAATACAGTCCCTGGTATCTAGGAAAGCTCTTCTCTGTCCCTCCTCTGTCAGGTTGTGTATAAAGAGTCCGACCAGATTCACCGACAAGAAGACCAGTAGGTTTGCAGCCAGCTGCTGCCATCTATCCACCAGGGAGGTGTGGTGCTCCACCAGGGAGATGCTCACGATGGTGTGGATACCAGCCAGGAGGAGGGAGAAGGAGGTTGCAATCCAACTCCTAGATATATTAGAGATTAGGATTCAGATACAGGTTCAAGTAGGATCTCGGATACACAAAATAGAGAAGTATACAAAATGGATAAAGATAAAGATGCAGGATGGAAAATGGATCATCATGATAAGAGAGATAAATGTAGGTTCAGGGTTAATAAGAGAGATAATTAGAGATACAGGATGCATAGGTGAGATCAGTAAAAGGTATAGGATGAATAGGGGAGATAAATAGAGATACATGATGGAGGCTGAATGAGGGAGAGGTAAGTACGGGTGACAAATAAGGGCATTAAACAGAGACTGGTAATAAAGTTAAATGTTGTTACAGGGGGGAATTTATAAATGGAATCATAAATTATTAAATTTGAATAAATAAATAAATATTAAAACAACATGATTTATTCATGCATAAACTAAAGGTGTGAAGAAACCTTACAAGTCTGGATAATACTAAAGGAATATTGAATTATATTATGATAATTAAAACTAGGTTTTTTACCATTTAAGTCTGGCATGAAAAAGGTTTTATTCAGTATCAAGTATGATATCAGAGTCTAGTATGCCAGAAGAAGATTTTAAACCTGTCTGTGAGAATCTGTCAGCTGTCACTTTTGTCTGTTTTTGACATTTATGGTTCCACCCCTTCAGACTCTTCAGACAGATAGATAAAGGGATGGGATAGAAGGTGGAGTAATAAAAGGGGGATGGGATCAAAATGCAAAAATGTGTTTTAAAATGGAAAGAAAAAGCACGTAATAAATGGAGTGGAAAATTAGAGACAAGGATAACACAATGGGATGGAGCGTAGGGCGAGGGGTGTATAAAAAAGATTAAACCATTTCGTGTTTATGAACAAGACAGAACAATAAAATAAAATTTCTTCAATAGTAGAATTTGTTTAGTTTGTGAAAGAATGTAGGTTCAGGTAAGGACGTAATGCAAGGAAAGTTAATTGCAGTTGCGTATACTCTGCGTACATATTGAAACCAGTTCTCTCTGGGCGGAATTTGTAAACAAGAATAGATGCCTCAGTGTTCGTTTAGTATCCGAGGAGGTTAGAAGCATTGAGTTTTGATAATTTTGATAATTCACATAATAGTTTCCTATGACCAGAATATTTCATTGATTATTTATGTGAAAGATGGATCCCATGTCAGGCTTCGACATCCGTCTTGTGTTTACATTACCGCCCAGTGACAGTACACTGCAGTAAAAAAGATGCGTACACCTCTGAAATAACTTGCATTAAATCCTTGGGTTTAGGTATGTCTAAACATTTCAAGAAAAGTTTAGTTTTATTACCCCACACACCTCTAGACGCTACAAGGAACAAACGTGTTAAAAACTTGTTTTAATGTCGGCCGTATATCTTAATCCTGTCATGCCATTTTGGGAGTAAAACCGCGAGATGAACTCAAGAATTATCCTTTAGCGTTTAGGTCTGGTTATCTCTCAATAGGCTTTCAGGAACCACAATTTTGACACACTTTTTGCGTCATAAGTCCTGTGGCGGTGCAAGGTATTTTTGCGTCATCCTTTAACGTTCACTATTTTGCATAGATTCCTGCTGCGAAGCATGAACCGTTTTTGCGTCAGTTTAACCCAGCAGCTATTCTTTTGTCCGTGTTAATTCTGCGTACATTATACGCATATTTTTCAAGGCGCTCTTGCATAAAAATGCCCACTTGTATAATGTTTGAATGAATATAAAGGTTCTCTATTCACTTGAATGCATCACGTCATTTTAAATTCAGACCTTGCTTGTTTAAACATTATAAGCTCATTGCGTACTAGAAATAATAAAACCTTTTTATTTGTCTTTACACGGTATACAATATATATACAATGTACATACAGTATGTCAGTGATTTTTTACTCCTTAAAAATTTTTGTATAGCAGATATATCAATTTGCAAGAAATTAATTGACAGAAAATGAGACAATTCGAATAATGATGGTAAGGGGAAGGTTAAGACCGAAAACATCCAAAAACGTTAAAAGTATAAAAATGTATTTTTTCTTCAATTTTTCGTTTTTCACCTGAACGTTTTGGAGTCAATGTTTTTTTAAGCTTCGGACGTATACATATTATATAAAGGATAACAAGGAGTTGGGATTGAATAATATGTGAAAACTATGAAGGACAAGGGGTGAAGAGAACTCGATATAACAAGGAAAAGAGGGAGGGANACATGAGGGAAAGAAAAGAGGTGATAGAAAGGATGAATAAAAATTTAGAAAGCAGAGGTTAAAATAAAATGGAAGGGAGCTGAACGGTAACCACTTGCCGCACAAATTCGAATTTAATCTTTAAAAATATCTTTGCAACGATCTTTGATATTTTAAACTATGAATTGTTATACATCTAAAAGTATAAAGGAATTGAGTCTTTGCCACAAACTTAAATTTTCTAATCCATATATCTATGGAACCTGATGTTGTAGACTTTTTATATTTCAAACTAAGATAATTTTATGCAACAGAATTCATAGGCTAAAATATCTAAGGTCTACGACATTGGGTTGCAGAGATATAGGAATTAGAAAATCAGAGTTTGTGTCAAAGACTCAATTCCTTTGAAGTGTCAAAGACAAGTTTAAAAGATATTTGGATTAGAATATTAGATTTTGTGTCGATTGTTCAATTCCTTTTTATTCAGAAAGATTAAATATCCAAAAATGTCCCAAGTGAATTTCCGCAAAAATACCAAAGTTGCGCCTCTGGGCAGGAGTAAAAGTAAGTAGAAGTTAGGGTGGAGAATTCAAAGATGTTGACAGAGCTAAATTAAAGAGAAGAAACTGAGTAAAAAAGTCTATTTGTTTAAACAGCTCAGCACACGGATTATCTTGCTTAGAAAAAATAAACAAAAAGTTTGTCCCAGCAACGGGATTCATAAATTAAAGATTTAAACATTCATGGATATAATTCAAAAACGAGGCTAAAAAGGGAGGATAATCTGAAGAGAAAGCAATAATAGAAGAAATGCGAATCGGTGATGGAGTTTAAGAAAAGAAAAACAGAAAAAGAGAAAGGTAAAGATATGGAAGAAAGGAAAGGAGGGAAGAAGTACAGGATAAAAGAGAAAAGAAAAGATATGGAAGAAAGGATAGGAGGGATAGGGTAAAGGAAAAGAGTAAAGATATAGAAGAAAGTAAAGAAGGGATAGGGTAAAAAAGAAGAGTAAAGATATGGAAGAAAGTAAAGAAGGATAGGGTAAAAGAGAAGAGTAAAGATATGAAAGAAAGGAAAGAAGGATAGGGTAAAAGAAAAGAGTAAAGATATGGAAGAAAGGAAAGAACGATAGGGTAAAAGAGAGGAGTAAAGATATAGAAGAAAGGAAAGGAGGGAAAAGGTAAAAGAACAGAGTAAAGATATGGAAGAAATAAAAATGTGGGGGGCGGGGAAATTCAAACATATTTAAACTCCTTTAAGATTCAAGATAAATAAATAATATAGATACTTGAATAGAAACAAGGAAAGAGAAGAGTAAAGATATGGAAGAAAGTAAAGAAGGGATAGGATAAAAGAGAAGAGTAAAGATATGGAAGAAAGTAAAGAAGGATAGGGTAAAAGAGAAGAGTAAAGATATGGAAGAAAGGAAAGAAGGATAGGGTAAAAGAGAGGAGTAAAGATATGGAAGAAAGGAAAGAAGCATAGGGTAAAAGAGAAGAGTAAAGATATAGAAGAAAGGAAAGGAGGGAAAAGGTAAAAGAAAAGAGTAAAGATATGGAAGAAATCAAAATGTGGGGGGCGGGGAAATTCAAACATATTTAAACTCCTTTAAGATTCAAGATAAATAAATAATATAGATACTTGAATAGAAACAAGGAAAGTTGATAAATAATAAGATAAAACGAAAGGTAAAAGATGAAAAACAATGATTGGAAAGAAACCAAGGAAAATGAAAGATAAGATGAATAAGAGAAGGAGAATAATACCTAAGAGGAAGCATAGCGTAAACCAGAAATGTTGAGAAGACGATCTCCCAAACTCCTTCAACCATCTCGTGACGGGGCGGCTCTCTATCCAAACTCCACCCGAACGAAACTAAAATATTCAAAACTAAATCAGGTTTTCAAATTCAATTCACTTCACAAGAACTGAATTCACTTTAATTCAAAATTATTCTAGAAAAATGTAAAGTTTATATAATTTACCGTTCTTGAAAATTAAATGCATAATTCGGAAGAAATGAAAAAGAAAAACGAAAAGTAAGCTGTAGGAAACCTGTTTATTTTCAAATCAAGCCATAATGTGGAATCAGTCCCTTTAAAAATTTGACTACTCTTTGAAGGTTTGATATTAGTTGGTGGAGTTTCTCAAAGTTTTAAAAGGACCCAATATACATAAAGGTTTGGATAAATTGTTTTAAAATTCTGAACTCTGAATATTATAGAATTATGTATTATAGAACGGAGTAAAGGAGAGAGGGGGAAGATTACATAAAAATATTTCTTCTTATAAAATATTTTCCCTACATTATCATAAAGATGTTCGATTTTTTTATCTTTGTGAAAAATATAATTCTCTTGGTGGTAGTCTACTGAGAGTTAAACAGGTCATAGGACTGAATACAAATATAACAAAATTTAAATGTCATTTTCTCTTTTCTATATTCGCAAACATTGCGAAGAGGACAAAGGAAAAGTTGTTTGAGATGGGTAAACATAATATTCTTGCATGCTAGAAGTGTCAAAACTACATCCTAAACAGAGGCGTATTCAGGGAGGGGGGGGCTATTGGGGCTAAGCCCCCCCCTGGACCAGTGAAATCTATTGATTTCAAGGGGTTTTCATGCCCAACGGGTGCTGAGCCCCCCCCCCTGGAAAAAAAAATGTAAGCCCCCCCTGGACAAATTCCTGAATACGCCCCTGATCCTAAATGTTAAGGGTTCTTTAAAGGGACTGTAGGCGTATGTTTGATTCACATCGATACCCATTAAACCTTTGTCTGATCACGAGTGATGGATAAATTCTTGTTTTCTAGATGAAAATTGATAATTTTCTCTATGCAAGTTACATCCAAATTTATGCAACAAGAACAGTGAAAAAATCAACACTTTTCACGATAAAAACGACAATATCTTCTTCATTGTTTCTCATATAAGAGTGACGTTGTTAATCGGACATTACTGTTCTAAAAAAGTAATTTTCTTGAAAATATGTTAACAGTCCCTTTAAAATTTCAAACATTTATTTAAAAAGTGAAAAAATATATTTAGTATTTGTTTAAGTATAGAATCAATCCTGAGATAACTTTAGAATTTATAGTAGGACCTGGAGTACAATTTACTGATTAAAAAACTCAGGATAAAACTTAACCAAGATTCAACATGTTAACCCCCCCCCCCCTTCAGCGCATTTATTTAATCCCTGTATTCTTGTCTGGACCTCAAACTAATGTCTCTAAAAATGCAATTTCTCCCGAATTATATCCTTTATCTAATGTGGGTTAAAAAGTTGTTAAAAACAGATTAGTGTCATGATACATTGCTCCGATATTATTAGGTTAGGATGCAATCATACGTAATTGGATTTTAACTCGCCAAGCTTCACGCCCCTCTTTAAGCAATAATTTTAACGTTCAAGTCCTGCTTTACAAGTCGCCGTTTTTTTACGTAATTGTAAAACTCAAGATTTCGCGGATTTTTCTGTTAACATTGATCGACATTATTTTCCGGACAAATTGTTTCCATTTTTAACGTTAAAAAATGTTTAATTGGTTTAGCGTTTTTTTTTTAAATTTAGAAAAGAAATTAGTGAAATATTTACCTAAAACTTTGTACTTTGGTAAGTTTATTATTTGTAAATCTGGGTTTTTACTCTCATAGCAACCAGAGTTAGTAAACTAATGCAGGTTTAACATGAAGTAAAAGCAAGTTTAACAAAGTTTGGAAATTTTCAAACACAATTAAAATTTTATCATCGGAACAAAATGATCATAAAAGTAAAATCTTTTTAAAATTTGATATCATCCAATTCGATGTGTAAATATTTCATACTCTTAAATGTTGATTGTTGTAAATCCGGTTTAAGACGGGGACAGTTTATCCTGTATCCGGAGATAAACAAGAGAAGGAAGAACTAGAGTAAACACAATGAAATGGAACTAAAAAGTGTAAGATAGAAATCTGCGTAAACTATTCCAATCATGGTGAAATATCAACGAAGAAAATGTGCACTTGAATTATCTAATTTCCAGGTTAAACCGCAGTAATATAGTTTTGTGGTTGATCTAAGGTGTGATATCTCCGTTTAAGGTTTTATATTTATTACATTTTAGCTCCGGTAGCTAGATTACTACAGCACTTAATCTTTTCCTAGCTCTAACACTATGTAGATATGTAGATATCCGAACATAAAACTTAAAGAAACTAGAATGTGTAAGCGATAGTTATACAATATACATAACCCCAAGTTTCCATAGCTAGAATAATATGAGTTGGAATTCTTAGAGCTAGAGTAATTTCCCCCAGAGTATACCAACAGCTGGAGTAATTGGAGTGAAAGTAGTAAAATTGTTTAGAGCTAAAATACTTGGAGCTTGAACTAGAGCTTAGAGCTAGAGCCTGAAGTTTAGGAGCTTAAGTGCCTGGAGATTTTTTTAGCTAGAGTGTTTGAATTTCCTGTGGTAGGCGATTAGATCTATATAATAAAGACGACTTTATATTTCAATTTTGATTTATATCAAGCTTTTGAACAGCACAGATACACAAAAACATGGAAACAAAAAAGAGTTGTCATTTAAAAAGTTTTTCTTTTTTTACCTTTTAAACTTGTAATTTGATAAAAGCGTGTTAACAATTATAACTTTTAAAAAATCGTCTTCTTTATATTGATATAATCGCCTACCATCGAATAATAAACACAAAAAGTATGGAGCTAAAGAGTTGTTTAGCATTAGTGGTGAGATCTAAACTCCTATTAATTGTATTTTGTAGAAACTTTAAGACGAACAGGTGAACCCATTTAAATATTTTTAAACGGATGCAAATAGAAAGGGGTTCAAATTTTGAAACGGGGTTCACGTGTTTGAAAGGAAAAAGAAAATAAACAGTGATAACCTGAAAACAATGAAATAGGAAGACGACATTATAGCAATACATAGGTGTATTTGATGCTTAGTTTTACTAGACACTTATTAAAATTCAATTAGTGAAATGGGTCTGTTTACACTGCACAACTGCTGTCTAATTTTCTTTGGACTATTTAAAATTTTAACTTAATTGTAAAAGTCGTCTTCCTATTACAGGGTTTTCTGGCTATCACTGTATTTGTAAAAATATTTTCTGAGTTATAGTAAGATTGTTTTGGTTTTTTTGTATGTAAAATATAGATTAAAAGATATGTTTTGCTCCGCATCGATTCATCATTTCAATCTCACAAGATGACTGATATCGTTCTTATTCTTATTTTACAGATAAAAAACATTGATGCATGATGATGTTAATAGTTCTCAATGTTAACACTGAGAAATATTAAAACTATTATCTGTCATCAGGAGAATTAGTTTTATCTAGAATTATAGAAACGTGGAAGAAGAAAACGACTGTTATCGTTAAGTTATGTTTTCAACAGTCAAATGAACATGAAACACAACAACTGTGCACGTTACAGCGACCAACAGACCCATTTCACTTTATGAGATGATTAAATGTCGTCTTCTTATTCCACATTTTTATGGGTCCCACTGTGTAAAATGTTATTAAATTATGTGATGTTATTAAATTATGTGATGTGATAAAATCTTTAAAAATAAAAAGATAAATTGACAACAGATATATCAAGAAGTAAAACATTTGTTTTCACATATTTTGTGGTTTTCATAGCATTTGAACAACTTATCTAATATTTTTTACATTTTTTACATTTTTTTAAAAATCTTTGCAACCTTATAGTTTAAACCTTTGATATTGATCAGGATCTAACAGAAGTCATAGTTTTTATATCTATGTCTTCGAAGTTGTGTTGCAAACTTGCAAAGTAAATCAGATTTTGCGGCAAAGAATCAATTTCTTTGTTTTGCAACACTTTTTTGTCCAACAACAGATGTACAAGAATGATTGCATCCTTTCAAGGGAACACAATTTCAAGTGAACCTCCATGTAAAGAGTGGCATGTTTGATTCACAATTGTACCCTTTAAGTATCTTTCTGAGTAACAGTGAGGAATGAGCAGGTTACCGCCTGTTTTCCTAGTCAGCATTCCACAAGTGACTTTTATAAAAAGAAACAATTAAAAATAATAAATTTTCTGCTAGAAAATAAGGATACATCATTCATCCTGGATCAGACAAAAAATATAAAATACTGGATCAATTTACAATTTAACAAGGAATTAATTTGTATCATCTTGATAAAGCAGTTTGATTTGTTTTATTTGTATATGTATTTATCTAAGGAAGGAGGGGGGGGGGGGATTAAGACCCCATAGATACAAATTATTAATTGATTGATTGATTGAGCTTTAATCTTTGTCCTTTTATCTCAAGGCAAACATTCTATTTGCAATTTAATAATTATAAAGATTTTGAATTTGCATATCTGGATCTGACAATCTTGTGCAAATTCTTGTTTGCTAAATACATTTTTTAATCATTTTTTAATTAGCACAAGTTGTTTAATGAAAGAGATGCTGCTGCTGGATTAAGAATAATGGCAGGGTAGGTTTCATTCATCCTTCCTTTCTCTATTATCATTATTATCGTATTTATTTTACAGGGACTGTAAGCGTAATTTCAAGTGACCCTCCATGCTTTGTCTGATCAAGTATGAATAAGATATCAATGTTTTTAATTTTGAAAACTAATTGATTTAAATTGTTGGTCCTCTACACGAGTGACTAGCGCATTTCTATACTGCAGGAAACCCTATAGAAATTATTACAATTTAACCCTTTTACCCATAGAAAAAGGACAACATCTTTTAAAGGTACCGTTGTTAATCGGGCGTTCCAAATTTTCGGCGGAGGGTCACTTGAAACTAGGCTTGCAGTCCTTTCTTAATGAATGAGTTTGGTAGCAAAAAAAGCATTGATTTTTCCAATTCAGCCATAATAAACTCAACACCACCAGCAGGGAAAGTGTAGGGGAATGATTTTAAAAACAAAATATTTACCCCTGCCTTTAGTCTTTTATACCCCCGTTAACTTATCTTTATTTATTACTATTTCATTTCTTATCTTATATTGTGAAGTCATTAGTTTTGAATTGAACTAAAATATAAACATTGATAAATCCTCCTAAATACCACGTGTACTTCACTGCATCTATTATTCTGTTATTTGTTTATAAGTCACAAACTAGTCCTGCCTTGGCTGAGAATAATTATATATCTCTGAATCCCCCACCCCCAGGGGTGTATATTTTCTTGAAAAATCATTCCCTTTTTTCAATATCTTTTTCCACAGTGCAGAAGTAAGGTGTTTGAAATATGAAAAAACTTTCGATATCAAAATTTTTTTTTTTGCACATCATAAAAATAATTTGTTCTTAAAATTATATTTCCCCCCCCCCCCCCTTCAAGTATGAACTGGTAAAAATCTTCTAGTATCTTACAGAACTTGAAAGGCCTTCATTATGGCGTGATTAGCTTTAAACCTGGAGTTAAATAGTTCAATAAAGAATAATTTATTAAACATAAAGCTATCAATATCAAAATTATTAGTCTCATCTTTAACCAATAAACAGCAAGTACTAGTTTCAAATTACCAAAACGAATTGAACAAACTTCAGTTCTAAAATAATGAAAGCAAGCGAGATATCCTTCATTTTATTTGAAAAATCTAAATTAATTCTGTTAGATCAACAAGTCTAAGATTTAAAAATCAAAGGTTTACACAATCAGGTTGCAAAAATATCGGGATTCGAAAATTTGAGTTTGTGAAAAAGACTCACAGAAAATAAAACATTGCAGATATAAGCGAACGGCTGTCACTGAAAACTCTGCATATCATAATCCTCTTTTTCTGTCATTTTATGCGATTGACAGGGTGCTTAATTTTAAGAATAAATTAACGAAATAATGTTTTTAAAAAAAGAGTATGTTCATCTGTTCCTGTTTATCTCTTTAAAAACACATTCTGTTCTGTAGAACTAAAAATGAAGAGTTTCCCAGTTTAAATTGAAAAACAAAGATTGTGGATGAAAAGAACTGAAAAGCTGAAACGAGGCTGGAAATTGAATAAACGGAATCTATTTAAAAGTTCTAAAAACCTTTTTCCTTTAACATATTAATTTACGGTTCAAAGAAAGAAATGAGAGTCAGACTATTTTAGTGTTATCAAGGTAAGTTTTTTTTAATTTGTTTTTCATGTATTTTGTATTTTAACATTCCATTAAGGGGGGAAAGTAAAATGGACGGGTATTAGCTTGACAGGAGAAGGAATGATTTAACTGGAAGAGCTAGAACAGAGAAGGAATGGTTTACCTGGAAGAGCTAAGACAGAGTAGGAATGGTTTACCTGGAAGAGCTAGAACAGAGAAGGAATGGTGTACCTGGAAGAGCTAGGACAGAGTATGAATGGTTTACCAGGAAGAGCTAGGACGGAGAAGGAATGGTTTACCTGGAAGACCTCGGACGGAGAAGGAATGGCTTACCTGGAAGAGCTAGGACGGAGAAGGAGGCGCAGAAGACCAGAATCCCGTAGCAAACATATCCAAGATACAAATCATCGACAACGCGCGTGCACAGCACGATGAATATCACCACAAATATTCCGCAGTGCGCGCTATCGTAAAGGTTGCGCACTGTCGGTGCCTGAATGCTCACAAAGCTGGTTGTAGCAAGGGCGGCTGTGAGCACTACAAAGAGCGCAACGGCAGCTGTTATACTCGCATGTTGAAGGCGAAGAATATATCGGCGGAATAAACATTCCAGCTCTTCATTCTCAAATCTGAACCCGAGCAAGCAATCAGTTATAATCCTAACTCGGAGTAAACAATATACAATTTGTCATCATGAGGGGAGTTAAAGTGGCCATGTTGAGAAGGATTAATTGAAACGATGTGTGAAAGAACGAACATGGAAAAATAAAAGCAAAAATACTTGAGACTTGACAGTGCACGACAGGTTTCAGTTTGAACAAAAAATGACAAATAGAATTTTATCAAGAAGAATAAAGGGTTGGTGAATTGAAAGAAACAAAATAAAGTTTCGGAAGAAAAAAGAATGGCAGGTAGGGGTGGGGGGATCCTGTAAACAGAGGGTGAAAAATGATAAAATTTTGGTCCGAAGACATATTCTATTGACGGGGAAAGAAAAAATGAAATTATGAAAGATACAAAATTTGAATGTAAATTATAAAAAAGTCAATATGAAGTCAATATGATTATTAATAATAAAAGACGAAATACCGAACCAAACAAAATAATAAAAAAAAACTTTTAAAAAATAATCAGAAAAGGATAGAACAAAATCAATATTAATTGGCATAAAAATTTACAATATTCATAGAGACTAGAAAATATGAATGATATTAGAGACTAGAAAATGCAATTAATCTTGGTTCCAAGTATTGCCGAACCCCTGTGTGTGGGTGTTTGGTCAGTTGGATAAAAATAATTGGTCAAATCTCACAGAATATGTTTAAACCAAATATTAATTATTGCGCGCGAGATTAAGATAAAACTGGATTTGCAGAAAGCAGGGGTGTATAAGGTTCCCAAAAACAATCACATTTTTCAATCTAAATATGTAAAAAAGTTTTTTTTAAATATCAGATATTCTTATTTTTGCGGGTTGCTATTTTTCGATAAAAATTAAGAAATTTATGATTTTATCACATTTTTGGAGGGGGGGGGGNATATTACCCTTTTATCTTAGTAGTTAGTACCTATCCTAGTAGTGTTCAACCCTTCCCCCCCCGTTCTTTAAATTTGCATGATAAAGCGTCCTCGTAATAGAAACGTTAGTTCAGAGCTATACAATAGTTCTGACTCGGGGTATCATAGAAACCATCTCATCATATACCCAGTTCACACCTCTACCCGGAGAAGGATTACAGGGTGCCACTGTTCTCCGTAATATGTGAGGTTCTATTCCAACAAGAACCATATCTCTCTATAGTTGTCTCGTCTATTTTAGGTTGAAAAAGAGATTGAATGAATGGGATAAGCTTATATCTTTCTTTAAATATATAAGCAAAGGGATACTGAATATATTAATCGCAGGATAACTTCGTAAACATATATATAAGCAAGAGATAACTTTCAATTCAGGCATAATATATAATTAACCCCTTACTGAGTTAAATCTTACAAAAGAAGACATGAGTTGGTTGAAATCAAAGAAACTATGGTTAGGATATGTAGGGTGTCCCACATCAAATTTAACCGCGTCAATGGGTCTAAATTACGATTTGGGGGACAAATCAGAAAATTTAAGAAGAATGAACCATTTTGAAAAATTTAATAAGGCTAATAGAATTTTTTTTTGCAGAAAATGCTAGATTTTTAGACTTTTATGTGCGTATTTTGGCGATAAAAAGATTGGAGATAATCAAATATGAGATGGGACGCTCTGTATATTGACAGTTTGTTGAATCAAGCAAACTATGGTTAGGATATATATTGACAGTTGGTTGAAATCAAGGAAACTATGGTTAGGACATTTATTGACAGTTGGTTGGAATCAAAGAAACTATTGTTGGGTTATATATTGACAGTTCGTAGGAATCAAGGAAACTATGGTTATTAAACTGAAGTCAGGATATATCTTAGGAGTTTAATATAACCAGGGAAACTAAAGTCAGGATATATCTTGTGGGTTAAATAGAACCAAGGAAACTGAAGTCAGGATATATCTTGTGGGTTAAATTGAACAAATGAAACTAAAGTCAGGATATATCTTATGGGTTGAATTGAACCAAGAAATCTAAATTCAGGATAAACCCTCTGGGTTGAATAGAACCAAGGAAACTAAAGTCAGGATATATCCTGTGGGCTAAATAGAACCAAGGAAACTAAAGTCAGGATATACCTCGTAGGTTGAATAAAACCAAGTAACTAAAGCCAGGATATATCTTGAGAGTTGGATAGAACCAAGGCAGGATATATCTTGTAGGTTGGATAGAACCAAGGAAACTAAAGTCAGGATATATCTTGATAGATGGATAGAACCAAGGCAGGATATATCTTGTAGGTTGGAAAGTACCAAGGAAACTAAAGTCAGGATATATCTTGCAGGTTGAATAGAACCAAGGAAACTAAAGTCAGGATATATCTTGTAGGTTGAATAGAACCAAGGAAACTAAAGTCAGGATATATCTTGAGAGATGGATAGAACCAAGGCAGGATATATCTTGTAGGTTGGATAGAACCAAGAAAACTAAAGTCAGGATATGTCTTGTAGGTTGGATAGAACCAAGAAAACTAAAATCAGGATATATCTTGTAGGTTGGATAGATCCAACGAAACTAAATTCAGGATGTAGGTTGTAGGTTGGATAGATCCAATGAAACTAAAGTCAGGATATATCTTGTAGGTTGGAAAGTACCAAGGAAACTAAAGTCAGAATACATATCTTGTAGGTTGGATAGATCCAATGAAACTAAAGTCAGGATATATCTTGTAGGTTGGAGAGTACCAAGAAAACTAAATTCAGGATATATCTTGTAGGTTGGATAGATCCAATGAAACTAAAGTCAGGATATATCTTGTAGTTTGGAAAGTACCAAGGAAACTAAAGTCAGGATATTTCTTGTAGGTTGGATGGAACCAAGGAAACTAAAGTCAGGATATATCTTGTGGGTTGGAAAGAACCAAGAAAACTAAAGTCAGGATATATTTTGTAGGTTGGATAGAACCAAGGAAACTAAAGTCAGGATATATCTTGTGGGTTGGATAGAACCAAGAAAACTAACCCCCCTATAAGCCCATTTCATCAGGGAGTAACCACAAACTACCAGAGTTGAGCTGAGTGCTAACTTTTCCCATTTTTATAAACGCTTTCACTCTTTACAACCTTAGCTGCAGTAATGGTTAGAGTCAAACCAAGAAAATAAATATTAAGATTTAGAACATAACTAAATTAGATGTAAGACAATTATTATGATGAACGACAAAACAAAAATTGTGAAGATGTAAGAGAAATAAAAAATATTATGATGCAAGACATGAACAAAAATGTAAGAAAATGAGGACTTTATACTAAACTGTCAAAGCGGGGACCACTGGACAGAAAACGTTTAAAAAAATTATATTTTTTTATTTCTGGATTGCTTGTTATTCCTGTGTCTATTGACTAGCCGGCTGAAGATGACCTTCCTATGGCTCGTCATTGCTTTAACGCTATGATCCATATTGAAGGTTGGATTTTCCTCCTGGTTCCTTCAATCCTCTCTGGGTCCTTCAAACCACTCCAACCTCAATCCTCTCCGGGTACTATTATCCTACCAGCCATCTTCCTCATGGCCAACTAACCTGAAATAAATTTTTTAGGTGAACAGGAGGGATAGTAAGAGAAGATTAAACTAAGAATAAGAATTGGAACCAAAATGAAGACGAGAAAAGTGTTTTTAAGGCTTTTGTTTAAACTTCGTTAAAAAATTGAAAACAATCCCTTCCAAGCATATAGGTTTATAGCTTTATAGTGCACTCAAGGCAGGATGAAGATTAACCTGGAGTCAGATGTTATCTATACCTGGAGCACGCCAGACATAGAACTCATTATTCTTAATTACGTTTTTTACACTTTCTTCATTTCAACTTTTTAATTCATTCATGCATTTCAAGATTGCGTAGATAGTACAAGGAATAACAAGTATAAAAGGAAAAGGAAAGAGATTATTGATGCTAATGTAATTTTGGCGATTGTTATTTTTTTTTAAACGATTTACAAAGATTGCAGAGATAAAAACTGCTTTTAGTCTGAAAAGTGATGATTTTTCACAACTAAGACGAGCAAAAGATTACTTAAACACGGCTTTGATAATAATAATATATTGATAGATAAAAAAATTTTCAGTTTGTATTTGGCAAGGGTTTCACGTTTCGGTTTGACTGTATAGGATTCACTTAAAGATTTGGTTGCGAAAGCTGGTCAAATTTTGGTTGCGGAGTTCGTTTAAAGATTTGGTTGTGGAACTCGTTTAAAGATTTGGTTGTGGAATTCGTTTAAAGATTTGGTTGTGGACATCCAGACAGTCTTTTCAATACACAGAAGATAAGCTTACTGAATTTAGTTTTCAAACTTATACAACGGATAGATATTTATAGACAGATAGACATACACACTTATAGCTAGAGATAGACAGTAGACATACAGCTATACATATATACAGATAGACAGGATAGAAATATATTACACATAGAAAGGATTATATAAAAATATATAGACGAATATACAGATATTTAAATCGACAATCGACATATTTACATATATTTGTATATAAATAATAAATAAAAAATAGATAGACAGCAAGATAGATAGATAGCAAGATAGATCTATGTAAAGATGAATTCGGTAGATAATACAGAGGAAATGAAGAAGATAAAGTTGAGAAGGATAAGAAGGAAAATATATAAATATATTCATATTTAGAAATATATTTTATACTTTGAAATATATTCATATTAAGATATATATTTCATATTTACAGATACATTTTATATTTTGAAATATATTCATATTAAGATATACATTTCATATTTAGAAAGATATTTTATACTTTGAAATATATTCATATTAAGATATATATTTTAAATTTAGAAATATTTTATTTTNGAAAACTCAGGAGTTTCGTTCAACGATACTGTTTTAAATTTCGGGCTCAGGAGTGCCGTAAACTATTCACAGCAGGGTTGTAGAGTACGTAGAACCGATGATTTAGAGCTTGTTTTTTTGTCTAAATGGGAAAAATCTTACGATATTTTTATCATTGACAGTTTGTGTGTTGCTTTCCCGTGAAAATACTAAAATGAATTTACTGAAATATTGAATAAAAGAACGTCAGAATATTTCAAGGTTTTCCTGATTAATTAATCCGAAATGAATTTAATTAATGGCTGAAGTAGAAACTGAATAATTATGAATATGGAATAATGATAAATGAAAATTATCAATATAAAAAGAGATGGGGGGGGGAGGGGGGAGGACTGTTTATTAAAAAAGTATTTGGACAAAAAAAAACTAGAATAAATTAATCTTCGGAATTAAAAGAATAAAAAATGTTAGAAAAAAGTTTTTGTATTTTTTTACAAGCTCAACTTTAAGTGGCGTGAAGCGACATTATTTTCTTGAATGCTAATATGTTGATTAGATCTAAATATACACCGGCTTAATATTTGTCTGACAGGTGGGTAGATAGATAGATAAATTCAAATATTTTAAACCAGGGCTGTATATCTCAAGTGTACATACATTGTACACCGTTGGATCACATTCTGATGCGAACATTTACAAGGATTGGTCAAATATTTCTTTTAAAACTGAAGCTAGACAGAAACTATAATATTTCTTTTAAAACTGAAGCTAGACAGATACTATGATATTTCTTTTAAAACTGAAGCTAGACAGAAACTATGATATTTCTTTTAAAACTGAAGCTAGACAGAAACTATGATATTTCTTTTAAAACTGAAGATAGACAGACACTATAAAATTTCTTTTAAAACTGATGCTAGACAGAAGCTATAATATTTCTTTTTAAACTGATGCTAGACAGACGCTATAATATTTCTTTTAAAACTGAAGCTAAACAGACACAATAATATCTCGTTTAAAACTGAAGCTAGACAGACACTACAATATTTCTTTTAAAACTGAAGCTAAACAGACACTATAATATTTCGTTTGAAAATGAAGCTAAACAGACACTGTAATATTTCTTTTAAAACTGAAGCTAGACAGAAACTATGATATTTCTTTAAAACTGAAGCTAGACAGATACTATAATATTTCGTTTAAAACTGAAGCTAAACAGACACTTTCGTCCAATCCTACTACAATATCCTTCAGTTAATTCAGTTTATTTTTATATTCCAATTTAAATCTTTTTTCAAACTTATCACCCCCCCCCATCCACCTTCCCTGTTACCATCTTGTAATAACGAAGTAATATTGACCCCTGTATTTTATCTAAATAATGCATTTGCTAAATAGGACTCTAGTATTGGCACATGCTGTTTTTAATAAATATATAAATTACAGATACTGGACTAAAATTAATATGTCAAATTACAAGCTCCTACACTTGTAACCAAAGTTAAAAATAAAATATACAAAAGTTTATTTATCTACATTTTGAATGTTAAAATCCATTCAAATACACATTACAGGCACATAATAGACAATGTATATTTAAAAAACAAAATTTGTCGGTGAATTTTTTCCATTTTTTGCGACCTTAAAGATTGAAAAATGTGCAACAGCTAGAAAGTCCCGAGGAATAAAATCTAAACAAAAAAATAATATTTGTGTTAGGTTTAGATGATATTTGGGGGCCGAGCACTACGGCTAGGAAATGCTTGAGGACTTACATATCTGTGTGTGGTTTTCAAGGTTGCACACTTTTCACAAAATTAATTAATAAAAGGAAGAATTAATAAATGAATAAAAGAAAGAATGAATAAATGAATAAAAGGAAGGATGAATAAATGAATTATATAAGATTGAGTGAATGAATAAATAAATGACACTAACCCTAATTAATTGCTAATGCATAATGGTTGAGCAGTGAACAGCTGGTAAATATACAATGCTACAATGAAACAAGGATACAAATACAATGATACAATGATACAATGAGACTAAGTTTGAACTAAGAATCAAGATTATACTTCTCTTTGTTCCTAGCTAATAGTTCTATTTATCTACACATCTAGAAATAAAGGGAGCAGTAAAAAATAATCGAAGATGAAATACAAAAATATTGAAACTGTGTTTTAGAAATTTTCATTAAAGGGGAGGGGGGGGGGATGGTTTCTGTAGATTTAACAAACAGATAAAATCTCCTGTTGTCTCGGTTTCAACGCATATTGCGTGGTAATATTTGGAGCAAAAAATTATAAAATATTTTAAAATTTCAACAAAATTCACTTTTTCCTGCTACATCCCACCCTTACCCCCCACTCCCCTGTCTCTTGTTAACCTACTTGCTTCGGGAACCCAGCTTTACCTGGAGATTAAAACAATTTTTAAAACTAAGCTTAGAACATTCTTTTTCATTCTTCTCATTTCCGTTTCTCATATTTCGCGTGCCTCCATCTTTTTTCTTACCCGATATCTTGATTCCTTTCTCTCCATATTTTTCCTTTTTTCTCATTTCCGTTCCAATTCCCATTAACTTCTCCATATTCTGTTCTCCATCCCACATAATTCTCATCAATCTTTCTTTTATTCCGTCTCCCCCCCTCTCACTTCCTTTCTACCCTCCCCCGCCCCCCCTCCCTCCCCGCCTGGCTATGGGGTGTAAGATACACATGTTGCCAAACGTAATTACGCAAATACATCAGATTTGCATATTTCTGGAACCAAAGATGAAAAATATGTTAGTTTCTGTTTACCAACACATGACATAAGTACATTTACTAACAATGCATACATAACACACGTATGTACTGATTTGCATATGCATTCATAGAAGTCACTAAACTCAATCAACATCAAGTAAATTTTCTTCATGCATTTAAAACTAACGTACGTAACTTTTATTTCTGGATAGAGTCGTTTTCTGAATTTTTTTTTTAATCGAAGTACTGCTAATATTATGTAGAGGGTCCAAAAAACGAAAAAGCACACAGATTTTAAAAAGCAAAACAGGGTTTCAAAAACCCTAATAATAATTTTTTGGGACATAGGCAAGATTACTCCTTTATGGCGTTACTTTTAGAATATTTAGTAGTATTTAGTGGGATAAAAAAGTTCCCCCAATTAATATAACATAAAACAATTAGAATAATATATATTTACACTTTACATTCTAGTTTTCCTTATTAAAACCAACATTAAGATTAGATCAGGAAAAATTCAGTATTTTTTTTTTACCATTATCTTGACTTAAATAATAATTTACTAGCTGAAGTGCCCGGCGTTGCCAGTGGAATTTTGAAAACTTCTAAAATATATTTTTTTATATAGCTTATGTCATCCATAGGGTACCATGGGTTTCCTAAACAATTTCAAACAATTTGGTTCAGCCGTTTGGCCAGCTATAGCTAATCTATATGTTTATATATATAGATGAGCAAAGAGCTAGCTTTTATTATATAAATTTTCATTTTAATGAAAATTTACAGTTTGCGCTGTACATTCTGAATAAATCTGAAAAATTTCAATTTTTTTTGAATAATTAGAACACATCAAAATATATTAATTGTTGTACGATAAGGGAGGTTGATTTTGGAAAATCCACTTGCTTCACCCAGAATAGCAAACGTCTTTAAAACGTCTTTAAGAAAAGACTCTCAATCCCATACAACAC